TGTGTACATTCCACTATTGCAGTCAAAAAGTTTATTTTGCTACTCTTCATCTTTTGCTTCATCGGTTTATTAAAGGAATAAAATTAATTTATCTTGTTTAGGTAGTATAGATCGTTATATTGGATTTTGCATCGTATCAAGAAAAGTTAAAATACGTATCTTCGCTTTTGGTTGCTTTTGAGATGTATAAACCAACCAGCACAGCCCTAGACTTGTAGGCTCTAACACTAATCACATCTTTAGGGTTTTGATATAAGTCCTGATTGTCCCTCGTGAACTCTATCGAATTCACACGAGAAATAAAATACTTTATTAGTTTTTTTTTGTGTTATGTAACTTTTGTTTTTTTTTTTCTATAAAGCAAACTTATACGTTTTTATTTATCCCAACTAATTTAAAGACTTAATAAATCATAAATCTTTTATAAAATTTGGCTTTAAAATAAATACTTTTTCACTGGTTATAAGTAGAAGAGAAAAAAAAAACATTTTCAGTAACGAAATATTTGTAGTTTCTCTATTTTTAAGTGTTTTAATCAGTCTTAAGTCTTAACATGTGTAATAATAAAAAAATATATATATAGCATAACATAATAAAGGTTCAATGGTTTTAACTTTTATATGCTCACAACTTGTTAAAATATAGGTCGAATAGAATAAAACTTAATTCTCATATGAAATGAAATATAATTCGATACATATGAAAGAGACTCAGCGTCACAATCCTAATTGAATCTATTTAGAATGTATAGTTGATAGCAGAGATTCATTTTGGAGAGTGAAACTTTTATATCAGATTGAGCTAAGTAGGAAGAAGCCAAGAGAGGGAAACGTGAACGAATGAATGGAGAATCAAACTCTCTGCGTCAGGTAGAAGGATCCAATCACATGGGGAATCAAACCTTCTGTCCCGTTCAGAGGGATTCAGCTCTCGTGATCAGGGATGAGAGAAAGAGCAATGTGACAAATGTCCTCTTCTTCTTCTTTTATTTTTTTTATTTTTTTTTTGTTTGTATTTCTTGGGAGTTTGAACAAACGCGTGCCCTATCAAGCTGACACAAACAATTTACCAAAAAACACAAAGACACTTCACATACACCAAAGCCTACACTTAGTGAAAATATATTCTCTCTCTCTCTCTCACACACACATCTTTATATTCTTCTTTCTCTTCTCTCTTTTTGATGGCTCGCCTTTTGAAGCACCCAACATGGATTCTCTTTGCTAGTCTAAAACCCATCACTTTGTATCACACCTAAAAAAATAGTAGATTCTGTTTTCACATTTTCACTTTCATTATCTTAACCTACCAAAGTTTTTTTTGTATTTCATCTTTCTATGTTTATCCAACTTGTTCGAGTGGTGCGATCATAAATTGTTACGATAATAAAGTATGGACATGTTATCAACGTAAGCTTATAATTACAACGACGAGATTTTATTTTCATAGCTAGTTCAGTTGGTTATGACTAAGGCTAATCATGAGCTAGCTAAGGATATACTGTATTATATATATGCCGTTAGATTTTTCACTTTTGTATATATAATGATTCGTGTCATTCGGTGGAAAACATACGGACATACGAGAAGTGGGATGGTTTTAATTTCAATATGACATGATATACAAGACTTTAGAATAAAAACTTTATTGTAGATCGATGTGTCTTCTTTTTTTTTTGTATTGATTATTGTTTCTTTATTTTGTGGGTTAGGGTACGAACGATCCATCTATCCATCTATCTATCTATCGAGTCTTTTGGATTGTATTGCATGGGAGAATTTGAGTGAATAATCCACTTTTTGGTAACTAAATGAATTAGCAGAAAAAATATGACTAAAAAAAAAAAATAAGTTATAAAAAGCCAACTTTTTGGGTTTCCCACTCTGTTTCGTCATCATTGCAGATGAGGTGTGAATGGGCCACACAGTCTTTGCTTTCACCTTTTGTTTCATTCCCTTTTTTTTGTGTGTGTGTGTGTAGGGTTTGTAGTAGGAATGTCTCTTTGCTTTTGTTCCTATGAGTTTTTTTTTTTTTAATATCATATTCTTTTGTAGTATATTTATCTATATGCTCATTGTATAATCACCAAATGTATCTATAAGACAAGTTCGACAAATTCGTTTCGTATAGTTGCAAACGAAAAGCACGATCAGATGTTGAACTTATTGGCGTCATATTGTTATTTTCTCTGCAAACTACTGCATCGGACTCTTGATTATGGTCGAATCCAAGTTTTCGACTATTTAGGAATTAGGCTGGAGGCCCGTTTACATGAGTTATGTTAATGGCCCATTTACATGAGTTATGTTAATGGCCCATCTAATCAAGTTAGACGGCCCAGTCCTCTAACTAATTTCGTTTTTTTTATGACACGATTTAAATACGGGGTTGTTATGACATGACGCATGAAAAGAATTATCGCATAAGAGCATGATTATCAATGACCTCTTAACAAAATCTTAAGTTAAGAAAAGTTAAGAAAAGTTAAGAAAAGTTAATAAATGTATCTTATCTAAGAGATATTTACTCACTTTTCTTAGTTTTTTTTCACTTTTCTTAACTTTTCTTACATTAAGATTTGTGTAAAAGACTCTTGATAATCATGGTCTTACTAGGTTACGGCATGACTACCAAGTAACTTCAAACAAAAAATGCTCATGTAACTACAGATTCCATTGGAAATAATCTCCAATATATATCTTTTTCAATGAAACAAGTTATGTAAGTGATGTAACCCTATCAGGCTATCATCATATGGTTAGAAGAACAAATTAAGAAAATGAGTAATGTGGTTAAAGCCTGGTCCGACGATCCAAAAACATTCGATAGTGGATTTGGACATGAGTCAAAAACACTAATCATCAAGTTTCAAGCCCATGGTGTCGCATTATAAAAAACTCGACTGGAGTCCAAAACAGTCGTACTCATAGATCGTCCGTATGACCGTATGTAGTGTGATTTGTTATTGGTCACAAAAAAAAATCACGAAGCAATAATTTTCTATAGTTTGTCGTCTAGGAAAGACTTTTAAAATTTACAAACCCTAGAAAAGAGACCAAGATGTATACTACCAGGCTTACTAGCCATGTATTCATTTATGTCCTCGACCATTTCTCCATTATTTGATTTTTACTTGTCGACATTATGAGTTCGTACTTTTGCAATAAGTCGAAATCGCAAACAAATACACGGACACAACTCAATGAGAGTAAATTTAAGCAAAATTGTCATACGTTATGACTCTTTTGGTAAAAAAAGATTCCACAAAGATATTGTAATACAATCCAGAGTTTAGCAACATCAATGTATCATAGTAACTCTGAAAAAAATAGTGATTTACGTTTTCGTAAACAAAAAAAAAAGAAGAAAAATAAGCTATCTAACAAAGAAAACGTACTTCACAGCTTCACTGGTTGGTTGTAAAACCTTGGGCCACAGATTCTGTTGGCTTGTTAATACTTACTGACTTTTGTGACAAATAGGTCCATAGTATTCTGAGCCATCGATCTTCATGTTTGTATCCCCGAGATTTACGTGTATAGATGCTGATCCAACGGTCATAGTTCATTCGATCGCTTCGAACTTAGGTTACCATCTTCAGCTTTTTAATCATAAGTTTCTTTTGAACGTTACAAGAAAAGAGAAAAAAAAAAAAAAAAAGAACCAACGATTGGGGGCGATGAAACCAAAGTAAAAGGTAACACACAGAACAGAACATTGTCGTCTTGTAGACTCTTGTTGAGTTGTAGTATTATTACACTAGCTAGAGTTTTAACGTACGTAATTGTGTTATTACATTTAGTAAACATGAGTCACGAGACCCACCATTAGTTATATTGACTTTTTGTTTGCTCTATCATGTACAATTTTAGCTTACGATCAATAATTTCCTTTTGATTTCACTTGTACTCTATATTGAAATCTTGAAGCATCTTAATTTGAATCAACGCACACGCTCATGCACGTTTGGTTTACACATCTAAATGATTGATGCAACGATACTGTTTTAATATATTTTGACTCTCGTATGAAGATGTTATGTATAGAAGAAAAAATAATAATTTATAGGTTCTGAAAGTGTACCATGTATCATCAAAATTCAAAACTGGTTTTAATTTACCCACTTCTAAAACTAAGGACGACCAAAAACTGAAATTTACAGCTAATATAAATTTCCTGTTTCGAAACAAATGTGTTTCAGTATAAAAACGTAGCATCGCCCCAAGCGTTGGTTATAAGACGATCGAATCGAGTCGTTTTAACACTTATGTGACAGATTACAAGGTGCTATCGGTAGATAGAAAGTACTTCTCTGGTAGTTAGATAATTTCTACAGCATATGTCACATATCTTGAAAAAGGACAAGACTTATATAAAAATGTACCATTATGTTTAAATGCTTTCTCAAACTATGCATCAAATATCTTGTAAACATATGGTGTGAAAGAGGTAAAAGACTAAAAGAGTAATATTAGGAATGTGAATTTACACAGAAACCATATATCAAACCAACCATTTGATCAGAAAGGTTCTGAAAATGTTGAAAAGATCTACCGTAGCAAACTTTGAAACATTGTTTACCATTACTACCACAGTTTTATAATTTTTAACATTAGGTTATATATGAAACTCATTTTATAGAATAATAAGAACCAGAGTTTTCGTGAAATCAACTGTTATTATACACTTGAGGTATAAATTCAATTAAATCAAAAATCACTCAAAGAAAAAAGATGAACTAATTAAGTAACAAGAATAACGCATATTCCAGCTAAGTATATACTCGAAATATTTATTGTTTTGCTTTGAACGTAATTGACCAAATCTGACAAAAATAATTAAATCAGCAAATACCTCATATGTTAAGAAAAGTAAAATAATAATACAAATTAAGGCTGACCAAAAAAGGAGTAAAATAATAAAATGGGCAAAAAGCAAAGCCGTTTTTTTCTTCTTTCTTTCCTCTATAAAAGTCTCGTTCATGCAGCCCCCAACAAACAATAATCCCATCTTTTGCAACTTAAGAAAGAAAACTAAAAACTTCAAACTCTCCCTCTTTAAATCAATATAAGCCTCCTAAGGAGTTTCTCAGAAACAGTGAGGAAAACACAGTTTTTCCCAAGAAAATTTCCTCATCTACCAAACAAATTAAACCTATTTTCAGAAAACAAAGCAAATTTCTACAAGAACTTCTTCAAGGAAAAAGAAGATTCAGATCTGAGAGGAAAATATTAAGGAAAAACAATGTGTCTGGTGTGTTTATGTGATGAGGAAGAGACAGAGCTAGGGAGGCAACAAGCACCAGGATCGTGTCCGTATTGTGGAGGTAAAGTGCAAATGCTTGATGTCGAAAGAAAATGGATGTTCTGTTTCGTTCCTCTTTGTTTCAAGATCAAGAGGAAGTACTTGTGTTCTTCTTGCGATCGTCGTCTCGTTTTGTATCATTAAAAAAATCAATTAATTAATTTTATTTATTAAATTTTCCTTTCTTTATAAGTTATAACTAAAGTAAATTAATTAGCGTTTTAATTAAGAAAAATAAAGTTTAGTCGGTGGTTCTCGCCTCTTGGTATGGTTAGTAGATCTATGTCGTGTAAACCGACATTGATCCCTTTAGGAAGTTGTAGAACTCTCTCTACTCTTCATCCAAATTTGACGTACTTTGCTTTTGTCTTCGAGTAGTTTCTTAAGTCGGTTCAAATGTAATATATATATCTAATGGATGTTTATGTAATGTGTGTTTTTATATGTAATGATGAAATCTCAAGTTTGGTGTACTTGTATGTCGCAAGTTCTTTTCCTTTTCCTTCTCCTTCATATATATCAGAACGATCAACATATTCGAACCGGGAATGTCATACAGTCTCTACATATCTTTGCAACTAAATTAGAGTTTTAGGTCGTGTAATTTTGTTGATACACTCTCAAAGAAACAGACAATAATAATAATTTTTGCATGCAAGTACGGGTGTCAATCGGCCTGATCTTCAGTTCGAGAGCGTTTCTGGACCGGTCCAGTTCGTTTTTGTCTCGTGGAAAGTAAAACGAATATGACGACAAGGAGAGAGTAATATAGGCTTAATTCGTGGGGTTCAAAATTTTAGATATTGGACCCGAGTTGTTTTTTTGAGAGGTGTATATGTTAATTATGGTAACGACGTTACTATTCAAATGATTAATGCACATTAATAGCTAGCATTTACTAAAATTTTGATATGCATACATTATCAATACGAATCTTTTAAACGTTATTAATAAGATTGAGAATTAAGAGTATTGCCTTGAGGAGGGAGTTGTGTACTTACTTCTTGCGTTTATATTCTAGTAGTAACGTCGCATCAGTCATCACTAGTTGGTCTAATAATATTGATGGGTACGATTACGAATCTGTTAATTAAATATGAAGATTAGGAGAGTATAGTTTAAGAGAAAATTAATAAGAGAGATTCAGTTCGTGATGTTTATGTTAAAAATATTCGCTCGTGACTTATTTATGAGAGGAAGAAACAAAAGATCAGAAAACTGATTCGGTCACATGCAATATGACATCAGTGGTCAGTGATTTATGTGTTTTTTAGTCAGAAACCGAAACTGTATTTTCTGAACATTTCGAAAGCAAATAAATACAGTGAAAGGGAAAGAACACACACCTCTTATTTTTATTTTTGGGGGTTATAAACAGCTCTTATCTATATGTATAATATAAAAAGCTCTTATTATCTAATAGTATACTATAGTTTGCTTATAATACATATGACCAGAATCTCGAACTAATTAAAACAATACTTTCTATCATTCTATTGTTGCTAAGCTTATATTATTTTTTAAGTAGTTATTACTATTCTAGTTTTACTCTTTATGTTCTGAATAGTAAATTTGTTACCTAATGATTGAAACATGTAACAATATGAAAACGAAAGCCTCACAGCCACATCCTTGTTTGCGAACGGTTTGCTCTTTGTAGGCTTGTAGCAACACACACCCAGTTTCATCGTAAAAGCTGGTTTTACTGTTTCTTACAACGCAACAATTCGTGCGGGAACTCTAATATAAGTTTGTATAAAAACAAGTTACAGTATTGCACCAGAATGTATTGTTTTTCCTAGATTTTTATTCAATAAAAAGCGTATTATTTGATAAAATTAGGTAGAAGAAGTTATACACATACGTAAGGGTGGGCCAAAGTCGTATTAATTTCTGAAGCGTGTTACATTTATATATTACTTCGTATAGCTGCAACAAGAAAATGACTCTTAATGCACTTTTTGCTTCAAATGGTAATCAACTGAATTCAATATCTAACTTTCGAAAATCAAGTGGCAAATGAGAAAAAAACAAAACTTGTTTCGACAAGGAATATATTGAACAAGGGCTTGTCGTCATCACTAGACGACGTCTATACGGTATAGTCTATGCCTTCGCGAGTACCTTGTCTCGGACGAAGAACATCGACACACGGTGATCAGGGTCAGACAGGAGCACCAACTCTCAGTTTTATACATTTCATATGTATTAATATCTCGAATAATCTGAGAAAACTTTCTGCGATCTTAACAAGCTTTCAAGAAACAAATATTTCTCAGTGTTTCATTACTTAATATGTTAATAGTATTTATTGTTTTCCAAACAAAATCTATACTATTCTTTTTTCTTTTCTTTATATGGAATAGTAATGTTGGGTATTGAAAAGATAGAGAACTATCTAAAATTCTATACGTACTTGTATTTTCGGCCAACACAGTTTCAATTTTCAAATTCTCTGGAAGTATATGCTTATAGCAACCATTTTTTTTCTATACGAAATGTAAAATGTATATACTTTCCATATATAGTGTTTAAGAATTTTGCCAAAAATCTCTGAGAAAAAGGTGCTCAGATACTTGTCTACTTTTAAAGTGTATACATTTTCAATATTACCTGAGGGAAAAAGAAAATAAAAACGTTATATAAACACAAAGCTGTATAAATTGATTAGAGAGGCAAAATATCATCATTTCCCAAGCTATTGTATTATATATTATTACCCGTTGGGCTTTTCTCTTTTGTAATGGCCTATTGGGCCTTAAGTCTAGTAAATGAGTATCTAGTAAACCGGGTATAGAATACGGGTCGGGTTTATTTTGGCACGCACCCGGCAAAGACCTAGAATCCTTGTCGTGAGCTCAAAATTGAAAAACAAGAACATATGCCCAAAACCCTAGCAGCAGAGACTTCACTAACCCCAGCTCTGTTAGCTCTTACGCTTCGCCAAGTATTGATCTCTAGACTAGTCATGGGTAGCGAGAGCAAAACCTCGAATTTAGAATCGGAGAAGAAGGCTCTTCTCCTCCGTTCGGTGGCTCAGTACTTGGAGCGATGTGGGTTTTCCAAATGCTTCAAGAAATTGCTCTCCGAAGCTGAAATCGAGGTTTGTTCATTCGATTTTCTAGATAAAAAGACCCACTCTTTAGCTGTTGATTGCAATAGTATTATCCTTTGAATTCGCCTTAGATACTATGGAATTGATCCTTTTGGTATGTTATATGAATGTGTGCTCTTTACATTACTGTTGCAGAAGAAGGAATTGAACTCTAGTTTACCTGATCTGGAGGAAATTTACAGCGAGTTTTTGAATAAGAAGAAGTAAGTTGTTTTGCTTATGAATTTTGTTGCATTGTATCATTAGTCATGTTGAAGCTTATCATCTTGGCTTTGTGCTTTTATTGTTCTGTGTCTTGCAGAGATCCTGAAGCTGCAGTGAATGGAATTACCGAGGCGAATGCAATTGAAGTGGTGGAGAATGTAAAAAAGGAGAAAAAGAAGAAGAAGAAGAAGGAAACAAAGGTGGAGGTGGCTGAGGAGGAGAAGGTTAAAGACACTGTGGAGGCTGAGATTGAAGACGAATTGAAAGATAAAAAGAAGAAGAAAAAGAAGTCGAAATCAGTGGAGGCTGATGATGATGATGATGAGGAGAAAGTTTCTAAGAAACGGAAAAGATCAGAGCCTGAGGAGACTAAACATGAGGCTGAGGATGATGATGAAGACTCAAAGCGTAGGAAGAGAGAAGAGAAAGTAGTAGAAGAGGACGAGGGTATTCAAGAAACACCTGTTAAGCAAACTGACATCCAGGAAAACAAGAATGTTGAGAAAAGTGAAACGAAATCGACAAATCAGAAGTCAGGAAAAGGACTTTCCAACTCAAAAGAGGTAACCATGTTTGCATCAATGTTTTCATTTGGGATTAGAGAATGTGTACTGATGTGTTTTTTGAACTAATCTATAGCCGAAGAAACCGTTTCAGAGAGTGAACGTTGACGAAGTTGTGTTCATTGAGAATAGCAACGCGTATGGGTCAAAGGTTCCACATAATCTCTATTACTCCTGGTATAGCAATGTTTTTCTTTACCAATGCCTTTATTGAAGTTTGCTGCTCTGTCTTGTAGCCTGGTGCTCTCAATGGTTATGGCTATAAAGCTCAAGAGATTCTAGGGCAAGTGAGAGGAAGGTAATGCTCCCCACCTTTAAACTTATTATGTATCTAGAATTAGCCTTGGTAATGAGGGTCTTTTAGGAGTGTGGATTTGGTTACTAGATTTGTTTCGGTTTAGTTAATTCGGATTTGAAAATTCATAACCAAAGTAAAAAACCTTTTTACTCAGCCTTTGTACATTGTTCTATATCTAATCTAGGCAGGAGACAAATGAAAATAAAACTATCTAGGTTCATGCCTTGATCTCTTTAGTTTCTGCTTTTATTTTTGGTTTAGGGATTTCCGACATGAGAAGACCAAGAAGAAACGAGGAAGCTACAGAGGAGGAGAGATCGATCTCCAGTCACATTCGTTTAAGTTTGACAACTCAGACGACGATAAATGATTGATAAGCAACAACACTGCTTTCTCTCTATTGCTTCTCTTTTGATTTATCTTTATCCGTTTTCTTTGTCTTCTGCTTTGATCATTTCAATACCCAACAAAAGGGTCAAGTTTTGTGTCTGTTAACTCATATGATACTCATTAAGAACAAGATTCAGTTTCAGTTTCTTTGTTCACTCAAATTGGCTTGAAACATTATTACTCGAGTGTGACGAGAGCAAATGAGATAATTTCTCGTCTATTATTGGGTCCGGTTTATCTTTAAACCGAGATTACAGTTACACCATGATTTCTTGAAATGACGACTTTTCAAAATATTGGTTTAATTAAAGACCAAGAGACGACATTTTTTGGTTCATGGAATTTAAGCCGACATAATATGCAGATATTTGTTGTACTTGACAAATACTTTAGGCCGACATATATACAGGTGTTTTTTATTTATGTTTTATGTCTTTTTTGCTTTCCTAACCAAAATCTGTACTGTAATATTTCGTTCATTCAATTCGTCTCCTCGTATCATATAATATTACGCACATGAAATTTTGCTAATGACTTGATATGTTAGTTAGTGCTTTATTCTCTTCTTTCTGATCAAATTTAGTTGAGACTTGAGATAAGAAGAACTAAAGAGACGTATCTTTATTATGTTTGGTCTCTTGCGTTTTGATTAGGCAAAGTGTTGTTTTGCTTTTTTTATATAAAATCTTACTAAATAATCACTGAAAAAATTGTTATTCGATTCTTTGTTTTTATAATAACCATCGTTATAGAAAACATTATTTCGTGTCGGTCGGTTCTTTAATTTAACTAGTTAATGCTTGTAAGAATTTTGGTTTATATATTGTTTGCATACAGTAAAAAGCATCCAATGCTTGAAGTTGTGTTTTTCTTTTTGACAAAAAATTAGTTGTTGCAGTTAGTTGATGACAAAATATACGAATGGCAAAAGTAAATAAATTGTGATCATTTTGTTTTAAAACAAAATAATGGACCTACCTTTACCTATTAGTTTTCATGATCACGAATAGGTAAGCAGGTAAGAAGAATCAGATATTTTCTACATACACAGATTACGAATGTTTTTAAAATACTGTCGACAAGAAAAGATATGTTTGGGTGTAAACTATATAATATGGTCCCAAAATTTTATATTTCCTGGTTGTTATGTTTTGGTTATATCACATCCTACCAATAATTTCTTATAGATTACGAAATTAACCTCTGCTTTAGTTTTTTCGACCAAAGGTGTGTGAATGAGAACGAAGTGATTAAGATTAGACGCACGATGAAGAAATGGTGGGAATATATAAAAGTTAACAGTAAAAGAGAAACATTATTTTTTCGATATGGTGTATATATATCGTACGTTAAGATACGAATAATTAAGGATTATCGTGAAAACAAATGATTTACTGTATATAAATAATTAACTATACAGCTATACTAGTGAAAACATGATATTTGAGTTAACAATTTTCTGATTTGAACAATTAAACCATATGAATATGTCTTAGAACACTGCGTTGTGGAAGAAAGCTTTATAAAGTTTTGTCCATAAGAGATATTATTATTCTTGTAAGAAGCTTCGTATAAGAGCGAATATTGATTCTCCTATTGGCCGACGTGAATATAAATCTTTAGTTTCCTTTTTTTCGTTTCTTTCTTTATGACCAATTATAAGAAAAGAAGATTGTCGTTGACACGAAGAAAGAAACAAACAAAGTAAGAAGTAAACAAAATTCATGACATAATAAAGACATAATTAACTTAACTCTACCTAGCTTGATTTTTTTCCTTACAATTATTCTCCTCTTGTGAACATTATTATTTTAGATACAACAGAAGTGAACAAAAATTCATGACAAGGATAAGAACATTTAACTTTAACTATACATCTCTTGACTTTCCCCTTACCATTATTCTCCTCTTATGAAATTATTATAGAATTTGGAATATGTTTATATATATGGTTTCCTTAATTTCCATTCTTTCTTTCATTAGCGGGGTCGATAGGTTAGGAAAAATACAAAGTCATAGCTTGGTAAACGCAAAACTGCATTGTATGATGATATACATTTCATTTTTCCAATGGTTTAATAGCCGAGAGACTCGAATCTATGTACTAGTCTTAGGTGATTATTTTTCTTATATTTGAATAACGAGGTGATTATTCGATGATATTTTAATATTCTTACAATCTAACCTTTGTGAGCTGGGAGGCTAATGGACTGATATATAATGTCATTTTCGGTAAATTCTTTTCATTGTATGTCACATTCGTTCCGTATTTTCGAGCACTAAAGAACTAAAGAAGGAAACAGTCTAAAAATGGAATGATTATTTCCTTTACATACATAAGAATATGAAATTCAACAAAGATTTTAAAACTGATATGTAACAAATCGATTTAATAAAACAGTCTTCTTTACTATACAGTCGTATGTAAACCCAAAAAAAAAACACACGAAATATCACAGCGCTTTACACGTAAACAGTGGTTTCTCTACGGAGTCGACACGTAACCAATAAGAACAAAAGAGCTTCACACGTCAGAATATATTAAAAATATTAAAAATACACAAAATATTAATTACAAACAAACCTAGCTGTCTGTACACGTGGCACCGGACTTCTTTTCTTTAAGTTATGTGCCCTCTGTCATCATCATAATACATACACTGTTTAGGTTACTTTGCTTACATCTGGAGTATTTTAACAACAATTATTGCTATTTTCTAATGTAATAATAATAAATAATAACAAAAATTATTCCATGACAAATCTAATCTACACTTTACAGGTGCTCCTACTTAGTGGGTGTCAAAGCTTTTTTTTACAGATACACCTCTAAACGCGTATTTAGAAAAAAAAGATAAATGGGATATCTACAAATCTCCTAATAATCAAAGCAACTTTATTTTGTTGTTGTTGCGAGTAAAATCATATTCTTTGGTGAATCGTTTATTCGTTTTCACGTACGTGGAAATGAACATGCTGTTGCGTTGGACAATTTAATTCGCTTCTTATTAACGTTTGCGAAATACACACATTTATTTCATCATAATCATCGCTCAGACAGTTACATACCGTGTTCCCGCGTTTTTTGAAACACAATTTACCTTTTTGCCGGTTTGATCCACAGTGGTGATTATAATATAATGGTGGTGATTAACAAACGATATTACTTGAATTGTTTGTTTAACATATACACTTATAGTATATATTGAAAGGCGTCGGTGCATTAAGACAAAAAAAAAGAGTTTTGTATTTAGATGAAGTTTACTTAACCAATGCTTTTACTATAGCAACCAAAAGATATGCATAGACAAACAATGTCCAGAGTTGATTACTCCAAAGTTCAGTTTCTCTATATAAAATCCAGATTAAGGATTCGAATTCTGAAGTAGCGAGATGTTAATAATGTGGTTTAAGTTAAAACCACCGGAACATGCAAATTCATTTGTCTATTTTGTTGTTGTTGTTGTTGTTGTCGTCTGTTTGTTAATAAATACAAATTTCCAAAATGATTATACAAGTACTTTGGGAAATAACATACTTATGAACAGAAAAAAACTTAGGACATTGTGTGAGTCCATGGTTTATTTCAATTCAATTTTAGAATAATATATTTATTTTACTTATTATTAGATGATATGGAAACATATTTATAAGATTTCAGATTATTATTAAACAATGGGAATAACACATGTTTTAAACTGGTAACAAGTGTTTCAAAAAAAAAAAAAAAAACTGGTAACAACAAATGTGAAGGAAAGTTTTTTTCTGTCAACCTTAACTTTGTTTTCTTTACTTTGATTTTTCTTTCATTTATGTATTTATTATTAGATAGATTTCTTCTAATCAAAGTAATTATCTAAAGATTTATTTGCCCTTTTATTAAATTAATTAAAAAGAAAAAAGGAAATTGTAGTGTTGAAAAAAAAGAAGAAAAAAGGAAATTGTTGAAAGCAAAAAAAAGAAAAGTAAATTGATGTCACTAGCATTAATTTAACGCGTGCCACGTAGCGTAGAAGAAAAGAAAAATGGAATTACCCATAACGGCCCAGTAACTTTAGTTTAGTTTATAAATTGTTTTTGGGTTTTTTACTCCCATAACCCTAGATCTATATATAAGCTCATCACTGTTCTATCCCAACCTTTAGAGACCTTTCTCCAACTTTTATTTCCCGGCGATTAACTACTCACATTCTCCGGCGAGTTTACCGGAATTTTCTCTCCAGGTAGAGATCGAGTTTGTTTTTGTTTCTCGTCTCGATTTTTGCTTCAACCGACTACGAAACGAGTTTCGGATTTCGATAAAATAACTTAGTATTTTTAATTGCTTTTTAAAAATGGTTTTATGTTTTTTTTTTTTTAATTAAGATTTTGCAGTGTTGGTCGCTTTGTCTCCTTTTGTTCTTCTTCTTCGTCTTCTTTTAGTCTTACTTACTTGTTTTGAATTTTTGTTGACTACTACTGAAGTAAAACCGTTTCTCTCTTCGTGTTCATCGTTTTTTTTCCTTTTGTCTTATATTCGATTTTTTTCGTGATATCGCTGTGAAATCAAAGGCTAATGCCAAGGAATTTTGAAGAAATCTGAAAAAGTTTCATTGATTTTTCTAGGTTCGTTTTTGTCGCACTTGTTTATTTTTCCACAGAGAGAAGAAGATACTTTGTTTCGAAGAGATATTTTTCCTTTTTTTTGTTTGTTTCGTCCCGGAGATATTGCTTTTTTCCTGCTTGATATTTCACGTGGTTGTCGAAAGCTGAAGCAACCTTTAAACAGAAATACTTACTTATCTTTCCATTTTTTTTTTGTTTCTCAGTGGTTTTGAGATTTAGGGATTTGAGTGGTCTCGCGTGTTCTCTCTCCTGCGACTGCAAACGATGACGAGTCTCTTGAAGTCATCGCCGGGACGACGCCGTGGAGGCGATTTGGAGTCCGGTAAGAGTGAAAACCCCGATTCTGACAGCGATACGTTCTACATCCCTGGTAAGAATGCTTCAATCGAGCGGCTCCAACAGTGGAGGGTAAGACCTGGTTCTTTTCTCGCTTCTTCTGTGTTGTTTTCATATTGGTTTCTGATGGTCTTCTTTGTGATTCTGCGTCTTTACTTGCTTCTGTTGATTTTGCAGATGCTGTTTTTTTTTTTTTTTTTTTTGCTTTTATGAAATAATTGTTTTATAGCTTTTTCGATATAGTGAAATGCTACTGGTTATCTGCAAATCAGTGTTAATAATGAATGGTGTTTTTGTTACAGAAAGCTGCGCTGGTTCTCAATGCCTCCAGGAGATTCCGTTACACCTTGGACTTGAAGAAGGAGCAAGAAACGATGGAAATGAGAAAGAAGATCAGAAGTCATGCTCATGCTCTTTTGGTAAATTTATTTGGCAGCTGGTAAGTCATGTCTATATCATGATGTGGTGCATTTTACTTATCAGCCTTTTCTATTTCACTCTCAGGCTGCAAATCGTTTCATGGATATGGGGCGTGACCAAGGTATTTTTTTGCAAACTGTGTACTTTTGTGTTGTGCATAATCTGGTTCTGAGTGGGATGACACGACTCTTTATGTATGACGCTTGCTGATATGGTCTCTTTTCCTTTCAGGAGGTGAAAAACCAACAGCGTCTGCCACTCCAGCTGGAGATTTTGGAATTACTCCTGAACAGCTTGTCATAATGTCAAAGGATCACAACAATGGCTCCCTGCAGCAATACGGAGGGGTAACTTCTCAGTCATGCTTATGTCTGGTTACATTTTTTCGCTAGTCTCTAGTTAACTTTGGTATGCACGTTTTTGTTGCATCAGCCTCAAGGATTGTCAAATTTGCTCAAGAGTAATCCAGAGAAAGGTATCAGCGGAGATGATGATGACTTGCTAAACCGCAAAACCATTTATGGTTCAAACACCTATCCTCGAAAGAAAGGGAAAGGGTTTCTGGTATGAAGATGCATATTTTTTCTGTGTTTCTTGTGTTTTCCCTGCTCACTTTCTCATAAGGTGTGTTGGTTCATTTGTTTTTCATCACAGAGGTTTCTTTGGGATGCTTGCCATGATCTCACCTTGATCATTCTGATGGTTGCTGCAGTAGCGTCTTTAGCACTTGGGATAAAAACAGAGGTTTGTAATGAAATCAATAAATTTGATGTGGCTCTTCCTACTTTCACAAGTGTAATGTCAACTGCAATTTAACCTTGGTCTTACATAACCTTTGCCTATTTGGATAACAAACATCGACAGGGTATTAAAGAAGGATGGTATGATGGAGGAAGCATTGCATTTGCAGTGATTCTTGTGATTGTTGTCACAGGTAATTTTAACTTGTTTCGCTTAATATGAAAATTTTATAATGACTCTTAGTGTTCTGATGCTTTCTTCTCCTCTGCAGCTGTCAGTGACTACAAACAGTCTCTCCAGTTTCAAAACTTGAATGATGAAAAGAGAAACATACATCTGGAGGTATAAACATCATACCGATGTAATTTTTCCTTATTACTCTTTTTCTTGTTCCCTCCTTAGTTACACTAGACCTCTGTTGATTGCTGCACAGGTGATAAGAGGTGGAAGACGAGTGGAAATTTCAATCTATGACATTGTTGTGGGTGATGTCATACCTCTCAACATTGGCAATCAAGTAGGTGATCTCTTCTCTCATTTTCAATTTGTTTATGTCATATTACCATGTGTCTAATCAAAATAAAAATTATATTTAGGTTCCTGCTGATGGAGTGCTAATATCTGGCCACTCTCTTGCCCTTGATGAGTCTAGCATGACTGGAGAGAGCAAAATTGTAAGTTTTCTTGTTTCCTAATACAGTGAAATTGTTGACTTTCTCGTCTTGCTTTGGTATAACTCCTAACTTCCCTTTTCTTGCTAGGTTAACAAAGACGCTAACAAGGATCCATTCCTAATGTCTGGCTGTAAAGTTGCAGATGGAAATGGTGTAATGCTGGTAGGATTTCTCACTAAATTTTCTTGTTCCATAGTAAAACTGATATCGCAGGATATAGCTGTTATACGTATGCTCTTTCTTATTGCAAGGTTACTGGTGTTGGAGTCAACACTGAATGGGGATTGCTGATGGCCAGTATTTCTGAAGACAATGGTGAAGAAACTCCCTTGCAGGTTGATTTTTTTAGATCAATTCTGATGCAATCTTTTAATTTTTAAAGTTAAGCTAATCTTTTGACTTCCTTGAACCAGGTGCGCTTAAATGGGGTGGCTACTTTTATTGGCTCCATTGGCTTAGCAGTCGCTGCTGCTGTGCTGGTGATTCTTCTTACTCGGTATGGATCTTTACTAGTTATTATTTTGGAACTCAGCTATATTTCAAGACTTCGTGAGAACAATCTTAGCTGACATGATGCGACAATATCTGTATATTGTCCGTTTTGTTTTACAGATACTTTACCGGTCACACTAAAGACGTACATGGAGGTCCTCAATTTATTAAAGGAAAGACAAAAATTGGTCATGTTGTTGATGATGTGATCAAAGTTGTAACTGTAGCGGTATGTTTCCTATCTAACCATCTTAGTCTAGTAAAAAGCCTCCACGCAAAATCTTTCATTTCTAGAAATACTAATACTTGGCTATTGCTGCAGGTTACAATTGTTGTAGTGGCAGTGCCTGAGGGTCTTCCGTTGGCTGTTACTCTAACGTATGTATTTCCTATCTGGGCTTTATCCAACCCATTCACTACTTTTGAATGGTAGTTTCATATTGAAGAGTTTACTTCTCTTTGCGGATAATATTTTGCATTTCTTTTATTTTGTTTTGTTTCAGCCTTGCCTATTCTATGAGGAAAATGATGGCAGATAAGGCTTTGGTATGATTGTTTGACATTCTCTCTCAATCTTTATTGGGTGATGGAGGGATCAGTATATGATTTATTTATCCTTTCTACTATATAGTATGACAAAAAGTTGTTGTGCAGGTTCGGAGGCTATCTGCTTGTGAGACAATGGGCTCTGCCACCACTATTTGCAGTGATAAAACTGGAACACTAACTTTGAATCAGGTGTGTTTTTGTGTTTATAAATCTGGGTTCACTCCATATTTATAGTAAGACTCAAGTGAAGAGTTCACCTCTAGATTTTACTAAATGTTTTCTGTTTTATATTAAAGATGACAGTGGTTGAGTCTTATGCTGGGGGAAAGAAAACAGATACTGCACAATTGCCAGCAACTATCACTTCGTTAGTTGTTGAAGGAATATCTCAAAACACAACTGGTAGCATTTTTGTTCCAGAGGTAAGTTTCAAGCTTTTATATCTTGAATGAAAAGTCAGATATTCTAGATAAGTTCTTTAGCATTGCTCATTGGATATTATTTACTGACAGGGAGGTGGTGAATTAGAGTTGTCTGGTTCACCAACAGAAAAGGCCATTCTTGGCTGGGGAATCAAGGTTTAGTACCTGTGTTTTATTGTTTTCAAGTTCCTACATAGTTTAGACCTATGAGTGGAAAAGTGATTTGTATGTTTTCTCTCTTTCAGCTGGGAATGAATTTTGAGACAACCAGGTCGCAATCTTCTATCCTTCATGCTTTTCCCTTTAACTCAGAGAAGAAACGTGGTGGTGTTGCTGTAAAAACGGTAAATGTCTGCTTCTAAATTGTAGATGCTGTGTATGTATGGGGGATAAAATCATTTTTCTTGATCTTCTTATAGTCAAAGATGATACCTATGCAGTTATCTCAAAAGCACAATTCAGCTTCTTTTCTTTTACTTCAACATTTTCTTTTTCCAATATTACTTTTCAGGCTGATGGTGAAGTTCATATTCACTGGAAAGGAGCTTCTGAGATTGTCCTGGCATCTTGCAGAAGCTACATCGATGAGAATGGCAATGTGGCACCAATGACTGAAGACAAGGTTTGTGAAAAGTCTAAGTTAAACTCTTTTAAAGCGGGTGTATCTGTATGAATCTGTGATTTTCCCTTTGAGTTGTCGTTATGGTTCCCAATCTAATTTCTTTGATGTTCCCAGGCATTGTTTTTCAAGAATGGAATTGAAGAGATGGCTGGAAGAACCTTACGATGTGTTGCACTGGCCTTTAGAACCTTTGAGGCTGAAAAGGTCCCAACAGGCGAAGAGCTCTCAAAGTGGGTACTCCCTGAGGATGACCTTATTTTACTAGCTATAGTAGGCATAAAGGTGAGGGTCAATCGGGTTTCTGCTTTTTCCAGAGATTAGTCAGATATGCAATTTTTGGTTATTGTAGTTCTCGTACTTTGAGATCACTTTTACCGTTTCACATTGCATAGTACTCCATTCTTTGACACATTTTTTAGATTATTCAAAAGCCTGCATGTCAAAGTGTTTCTTACTGAAATGTTTGAATTTTGTTCAGGATCCATGTAGACCAGGAGTCAAAGATTCAGTTCAGCTGTGTCAAAATGCTGGTGTCAAGGTACTTCTTTACTTCGATTATATTTTTTTTTTAAAAGCCAGAAAGGCCAATGACGAAATTATATTCTTTAACTTGTTAATAATACTTCATAATATATGTTTGATGTTCAGGTCCGTATGGTGACTGGTGACAATATCCAAACTGCCAGGGCTATTGCTTTGGAGTGTGGAATATTAACGTCAGATGCAGAAGCCTCCGAGCCTACTCTCATTGAAGGAAAATCATTCCGTGCGATGACTGACGCAGAAAGGGACAAAATTAGTGGCAAAATCTCGGTACTGTTCACAACACTGTTTTTAAATTCTTAGTTCGAATGTGTTGGTATGTATTTTGAATGTCTTAGTCTCATTCTATGGCCTGTCTTCAGGCTTCACCTAATACAGATTATCTCCTGAACATCATATGCATCAGTTATTGCAATATGATAAAGTACTAACAGCCTAAACCGAAATTGACTTGGTTACTTCGCATCTGTAGGTTATGGGCCGATCATCACCCAATGACAAACTTCTGTTGGTACAATCTCTGAGAAGACAAGGGCATGTTGTTGCTGTCACCGGCGATGGGACAAATGATGCTCCTGCATTACACGAGGTATATAAATGCTCAAACAGTTAAAAGAATTTTAAGCTAATTATGTTGAAATATGAAAATTTATCTTTTCCAAGTATTTAATCAGACAGACGATCATTTTCTCATTGGTGTGGAATTTTTTGAGTGGATTTGCAGGCAGATATTGGTCTTGCTATGGGAATTGCTGGAACAGAAGTAGCTAAGGAGAGTTCAGACATCATTATCTTGGATGACAACTTTGCTTCGGTTGTCAAGGTTTGCTCAAATTCTCAACCTTTTTCCTCATTATAGTTTCCTTCCTTGTCTCAAGGTCTGGAAAGCACATCATCTACTTAATTATCAAAATTATTCTGGTTCCATGTAGATACTGGGCATAATACAGAATGTGTTTCTTGCAATTAACTCTGATTATTTTATATTCCAACCTTGAACTTCGGTGGCTTTTTATATGTAGGTTGTTCGCTGGGGACGATCAGTCTATGCCAACATCCAGAAATTCATCCAGTTTCAGCTCACAGTCAATGTCGCTGCTCTTATTATTAATGTGGTTGCTGCTATTTCAAGTGGTGATGTTCCACTTACCGCTGTGCAGGTTTGAGTTTCTGTTTCGTTGTGTTCTATTCTACTCTCTCTTTCTCTCTATATTTAGCTTTGTTCATACATTTGGTGTTTTATTTAATATACAGCTTCTCTGGGTTAATCTGATAATGGACACTCTTGGAGCATTGGCTTTGGCTACTGAACCACCTACCGATCACCTCATGGGGAGGCCTCCAGTTGGCAGGAAGTACTGTTTTTGCAGCTCTCTAAGTTTCTCACATTTAAATTTGATAAGAAGATATTCTGTTTTGTAGACATACACTTACGTTGTTTTTATTTGGTTTGATTTATCTATGCAGAGAACCTCTTATTACCAACATCATGTGGAGAAACTTGCTGATTCAGGTAAAAATTCAGTAATCAACTTTTTGATTATTTAAAATCACCCACATATATATATATATATATATATATATATATATATATATATATTAACAACAAGTTTGATTATAAATCTTTCAGGCTATCTATCAAGTTAGTGTATTGTTAACACTCAATTTCCGAGGCGTAAGCATACTTGGCCTGGAACATGAAGTGCCTGAACACGCCACCAGAGTGAAGAACACAATTATCTTCAACGCCTTTGTTCTCTGCCAAGTGAGTTGATTAAATCAGAGTCTTCTTTTACCGTATATACATCCAGCATCTCAACAGTATATATTAATACGATCTTTTTGTTAAACAGGCATTCAACGAGTTCAATGCTCGTAAACCAGATGAGAAGAACATCTTCAAAGGTGTGATTAAGAATCGTCTCTTCATGGGTATAATCGCCATAACTCTCGTCCTCCAGGTAAATAATAATTTGGTCCATCTTAAAAACATTGTAATTTACAGTTCATAAACGCTTGTTCCTTAAACATTAAAACAAAACCGCTCTTGTATTTGCTTGTCAGGTTATCATTGTTGAGTTCCTCGGTAAATTCGCTTCGACAACGAAACTTGACTGGAAACAATGGCTGATATGCGTTGCCATCGGTGTTATCAGGTCACTATTGTTTTTTTACATATATGCATGTTGGATTCATTTCTTGTATATATGTGCAATGCTTGTTGAAAACATAACTAACGTTTAAGTTGAACCTTTGTAATTTGACCAGTTGGCCTCTTGCTTTGGTTGGGAAATTCATTCCGGTGCCGGCAGCTCCTTTAAGCAACAAACTCTCAGCACTAAAATGCTGGGGAAAGAAGAAAAAGTCTTCTGGAGAAGGTAATTTATATAACTTACACAGCTTGTGATGATTATTAATGAACTGAAGTAAATTCATAAGAAAAGGCCTGCTTGGTGTAAGCTTGTGTAGAACTTATTTGGGATCTGGTTAGCTTATGTAGGAGCAGGGACTGAATTGAGTTTGAAAACTTAAAAAGCTGTGATAAAAAGTATAAACAAGTTTTGCTTATGTTCCAGGTTCACTCTGATGACATGGAGGGAGGTTAATCTCTCAGATACTCGGGAGTTTGTTTGCTACTACTACTCTTTAGGACTAACAGAGAAAAGCGTTTGGTTTGGTATGAATTTTATTGATATTTTTCGGAAAGCCCCAAAGTACAGTTTTCGGGTTTTGTTGGTCGGGCAAATTTGGAATTCTGGTTTTTCTTCTTGGGTGTTTTTTTTCTTTCATATCTTTTGGTGTAATATGATGACTGGATAACCTTTGGAACCACTACTAGTAAAGATTTTAACAAAGGAAATCAAAGTTGGAAAGAATGGAAAATTTTATATATCCGTGACCTTCTTTATCCAAAGTACAAGAAAAAAGGCACCGCAATAAAGCAGCAACGTAAAATATCTGTGTTGAAATAACGTTATCCATTATATGACATGTTCTGCATTGAGCTCAAACAAACTTGAGCAGCGGGTACATGTTGGGAAGGGTTTGGTTTGGTTAAACTTAAACGTCAATGCAGATTCTTAAAAGTTTGGATTTAAAGGCAGTTGAGTGCGGAAGTAATGTAATTATGGCTTCAAGTGTTAGATACCACCAATAAAGCTCTGATGCAATAGAATTTTAAAGGTATATATTAGTCATAATAAAACATAGAATATCGCAAGTGTAGAGTAGTAGAGAGCAAAGGCATATAGAATTGTAGACGATGATTTTTTTTTTTTTTTTTTGTAAACCAATAGAATTGTAGACGGTTAAGAACCGTAAACCCACCCCACGTCTCAGAGAGATGTCGCCACGTCATATGACTGATTATCGGATACAGAAATCACTCGATGAAAAAAGCCAAATGACCCACTCGGTTTCTGGTTTTTCTGTCAGACTGATTTTATTTCTTTTATTTTCTTTATTTATTTCACTTTTTCCTCTGTCGACTTTTTTATTTTCTTGCACTATATTAATCTCCATTATCGGAAAAACATAAGTAAAGAACACGGAGAACTAAAATAAAGAACACGGAAAAAACAAATACAGTTTTTTTTTTTCTTTTTTGGAACACAAATAAATACAGTTTAAAAATAAAATTAATTCACGCGTGAAAGAAAGAATAAAAAGAAGAGGAGACTGTTGTTGTAGTTGCAGTGAGAGAGGAAGAGGACTAAAAGAGTGTGCGGCGTTTTGGTTTTGCTCTCATTCCCTCTTTCCTTTAAAGTGACAGAGCCAGAGCCAGAGAGACATTTGCTTCTGTTCATTTTTTTTTAATGGTCGGTGAAGAACCGTGATTTGCTCTAATCAGTTTATATTATTACTCTTCTTCAATCTCCTCCATCTTCCCGTTATCTCCGCCACGTGTTTCTCTCTTTTTGTCTCCTCCTTCTCCCCCTAATCTCTTTAATCTCACAAACCAACAATACAAATCTAACTGTACACACACAGAGTAGTACCTTATTCTGTTTTCCCCCTTCTGAAACGAGCAAATTTTGACATGTGGGTCAGTGTTGATTCCTCTCCTCTTACTCTTCCCTTATGAGTTTTCCAATCTAAAAAACTATTGATACAAGGAACCAATGCTACTCACTCCTAAGATGTTTAGTTCTTGGCTTCGAAAAGATGTGAAGAAGATTCTCAAACGCAAAGACAGTGATGCTGGTGAAAAAGGTTTGCTTGAAAACAAAACTTCTTACTTCAATTCCATTGGCTTTTCATTTCGATTACTCTTTTTCGTCCTTTGAAAGATCTCATTCTTTTTTAGGATGATCCAATCTCACTATCTAAAACCCCCTCATTTTGTTTTTTTTTAGATTAGGGTTTGTTTAGCTGGATTTTGATTTTTAATACTACAAAAAATGGTTTTTGATTCAGGCAAAGCATTGGAGGACTTACGAGCTTCGTTATTTAACAGATTCCGTTCACCGGAAACTCCAAAGAGACAGCAACAACAACAACATCGTATCTGTGGCCCAACTGTTGCTCTCACTTTCAATTTCATTGTTGCTATTAGCATTATCTTCATGAACAAATGGGTAATTCCAACTTCATTCTTGCAATCACCATTATCTTCTATTAGTGTGTCAAAGTAATCAGCTTTTTTTTTTGGTTTCCTTTGATTTTCAGGTGCTTAAAAACATAGGCTTTGAGTTCCCAGTGTTCCTCACATTCATTCACTACATTGTAGCTTATCTTTTAATGGCTCTTCTCAAATCCTTTTCCCTCCTCCCTGCTTCACCTCCTTCCTCGAAATCATCGTCTCTTCCCCTCTATACTCTTGGCATTGTCATGTCACTCTCTACAGGACTCGCTAATGTTAGCCTTAAGTATAACAGGTTCTTGATTATATTCTCTGTATCCTTTTTGGCTTTCTTATATTGCTTCAGTCTCAAATTTTAAACTCACCGCAGTTGTTGTTCAATGTTTATTTTCTTAGTGTTGGATTCTACCAGATGGCCAAAATTGCTGTTACGCCTTCTATTGTCTTTGCTGAGTTCTTGTGGTATAGAAAGAGAGTTTCTTTCATGAAGGTGATTAAGAATTTTTCCTCTGTATCAAATAATTTGTTAATTCAATTAGAAATAATGCATTTGTTTGGTATACAGTTGGATTTTTCAGTGATCCATTAGGACTAGAGTTTATAGAATTACAAAAGGGGAAAACTTTGGCATAGTGAGTAACCTTGCAGCTGATGTTTTTCAGGTAGTTTCACTTACAGTTTTATCTGTGGGAGTTGCGGTTGCCACTGTAACAGATTTACAGTTTAGTCTGTTCGGCGCTTGTGTGGCATTCGCATGGATCATACCAAGCGCAACTAACAAAATCTTGTGGTCCAATATGCAACAACGAGAAAATTGGACTGCTTTAGCGTATGTGAATCAGATTCATCAGTTTTAATATCCCACTCGTTCATTCTCGCTGTATCAACATCTCTCAGGTTTATCTCTTCATTTTCGTAATCCAGGTTAATGTGGAAAACGACGCCAATCACCCTGTTGTTTCTTGTATCAATGATTCCGTTCTTGGATCCGCCAGGCGCTCTATCGTTCAATTGGAGCTTAGCCAACACATCCGCCATTCTTATTTCCGCTCTTCTCGGATTCTTTCTTCAATGGTCCGGAGCCTTAGCTCTCGGGTGAGTTAAAATTTCCTATATACTAGTGTGGTCAGTACATTTCGACTTTGTTATTTCGCTTTAAAGCTTACAAACCTGAATTGGTACCCAATTTTTTGTTTGTTTGGTAATTGGTTCCTCAAGTCCAGACTATGTCCATTTTTTGCAGAGCAACTTCTGCAATTACGCATGTGGTGCTGGGGCAATTCAAGACCTGTGTCCTCCTCCTTGGAAACTACTACATTTTCGGATCGAATAGTGGTTACATTAGCGTTTGCGGTGCGTTTGTGGCGATAATGGGGACTTCATTATATACTTACCTTAACACGAGAGGTCAATCTCTTAAAGCTTCGACTTCTTCTTCTTCTTCTGCTCCTTCAGACAAGAAGTCAAGATTCAGTGATCTTAAGGATGATGACAAGAATCTTCAACCTTACGGCTCCGAAGCTGTCTAGTCTTAGACTAACTTTGTAGTATAGTTTTGATTAACAATTCCACATTACATTAGATTCTAATTCTCAACTTTTTGTTTGTGTCGATTCTTGTTTCTCTTTTTCTAAGTTCATCCCTGAAAATAAACAACTTTTCTTTTGGCAGCAAGTCATCATCGTATGTTTTTGTATTTTCTTTTTTGTCAAATTTTGAAGATGTATACGTTGTTTTGGAAAACACTTTATAATGATCATAGACATAAAAGTAAAAACCAAAAATGTCACAATTCTTCTATACAAGATCTTTATGGTTCAAGATATATAAGCTGGATTAGTGAATTAAGCTTGTCGTGGTCTTGTCTTATGGTCTTAAATTGTGTATCATTAAAGAAAACGTGATGAAATGAGTAAGGCCTTATGGGCCCAACTAAGTCGAATGGGTCGATTTTACTGCTAATTAGTTTGTTTTGCTTCCTCCAAATTAAATATTCGGGGTAATAATTAGGAGGGTGTATTGAACTTCACATTTTAAGAGATTTTAAAATATTCTTAAAATCTCGTGTTATTTAATTAATGATTTTAAAAAATCTTCTGAAATCTTATTTTATTGAATATGAAAATTATATATAATCATTTACAATAAGGTGTTATTTAATCAATAATTTATAAATTTCATCTCAAATCTAGTGTTATTCAAAATATCACAAGTTTTCTTTTAAATATTACTCAATGTGATTCTAGGAGATTTTTCTAACATTTTTAGTTTTAAAATATGACTGTAGCCTTCTTAATAAATTTTGGGTGATTTGATTACTGTAAAGATAGAATTTTTGTGGTCTCTCTTACCAAAAAAAAAAAAAAAAAAGATAAGAATTTTTTGGTTAACATAAATGGATGACTCATCGACAGTGTAGTTAAAAATTTCACTTGTACGATCGTTTTCTGTTAAACGGAAACTATATAGTATGCGCCTGTGTGATAACTTCAGAAAGCAACCTATAGCTGCTGAGTTTATAACCTACATAGAAAATTTGGCTCCAATTTTTGTGAACAATCAAAGTATCAAAATCGATATGTTTGTTTGTTTGTTTATAAACAAGTGCTTATAAATCTGATAACTTTTAGTAAACTGGAAAATTACAAGTTAAAAATATACTTGACACCCATAATATACAGTTACTTTATTATACAATTAGCCCAGGAAACAGTATACAGTATATGCGTGCAAATGAATAGTTACATTGTATGTTTTAGACTTTTAGTTAAAGCAGAATTTAGTGACTATAAAAGTGCTCGTGCCTGCTCATATCAACTTGAAACAGTCTGAGCATTAATTTGTTATACAAGATAAGATTCACGAACCCAAAAAAAGAAGAAGAAAAATAGTACTAATAACATTAAGACATTATAATAATAAGGTGCCTAGAGAGATAAGAGCTGTCACTGAGCAAATGTTGTCTCCTACTCAATGCACAAAAACTTCTGTAAACATTTATAAAGTATATTTTGCTCCGATCCTAGTATATATATATATAAATATATGTTGCATTTCATTAAATAAGTAGACATTACATTTTTACGTGTGAAAACTATAAGATCTATTGTCAGATAAGTCAGAAGTCATGACAACCATATAATATATATAGAGTGAAAGAATTGTAATTGAAGTTCATGTGTTGTTGTTCGTTCAATGTACGTTCCGACCAGAGAGCGAGTTCCAACGTCTATCTCATCGTTTTGATACCCCCCACGTGATCGTTTTCACGTTTACACAGTCAACTCCTCCAGAGGCAACGCCATATTTGTTTACCACTGTTACATCGTTTCAGATCAGACATATCCCCAATTTTGTTATAAAAGCTTATCACCGTTTATCTTACTACACAATCAATATCGTCTAGATCAGGTTCTTCCTCTTTGACATGAATGGATAATATGATATATATTATGTATTCCGGAGCTTTATGCATCCAAACGCACCAACTTTTTCTCTGTATCAATCAAGAACCGTCCCTGTAATATATCTTATTTGTGACGATTATGTTGTTGCATATGTCTCAGACACACATTAGTATATCTATCCTCGGCATCTAAATTATATGTACCGTTATTTTAAATGTTTTAATATATATATATATATACAGTATAGGGGAAATCTAATATATATCAAGTTCCCTTGTTCTTTACTCAAATAAAATGCGACTACCTTCAAGGCTTCAAGTGAATATTACGTTCACATACATATATTTTTTGGGGTAAAGCACAAAGATACAAAAATAAATGAAATTAACAAAAGGTCAAATTTGGAAGGATTATTGCATTTGATCCAAAACATAAAAAAATTTTGTCTAGAGATTTAGAAAAGCAGAAGATCTAATCTAAACACACTTTGCGCGATCTAGTATATGATTGAAGCATTAGTGTAATTTAGTAACATGTTTCACGACCATCGAGAATTATAAACAAAAAAAAAAATCTAAATAAAGAAATGTATAATTGTACGCGCCTATCCCAAAAATTTAATAAATGTTAACGAAAATTACAAAGAGTAACACGTACATGCATGTGCATATAAATTATACAAAGTTATCTAAAAATTTCCGACTATCATATCATATGCTATAATTTTAATTAATGCAACATTGCTGGTCCATCCACCTAAGCCTTACCTGGAAATTAGTCTTTTTTTTCTTCGTTCTTTGTAATTCTTCTTTCTTTCTCTTTTTTTTGAAAAAAAATGAAAGATTCACCTTTGGTCGTATCGCCCTTTGATTTGGTAATACGCTTTGATTATAACTTAAAGCCCCAAAAGAACGTAGTAGAGTACTGTCACAGGCAAGGCAACCAGCATCCCGAATATAACCCTGCAAAATAAATTAAAAATTAAAACATAGTTTAAATTCATAATGTTCAAATTTTTGATTCAATATATAATATTTTAAAGGTTTTGAAATGAAATTTATGAATGTAATTCAAAACTTAAATCAATCATCAAGATATATATTTAGAAGTCGAGCAACATTCAAAGAGAACAAACTAAAAAGAATAAATACTTACGCAGTACTGAGAATATCAGGATGGACGTTATATTCCTTGGCGAAAACAAAAGGAACGATTCCTTGAGGAAGAGCAGCCTGTTCATAAAATACAATTTTATCCTATCAATAATTGAATATGTATGATAACATTATTTTAAGTAACATTCAACATCACTAAAAACATCAATTGTAATAGAGTACTAAAAGACTAAAGAGTAATTTACCTGAACGATGGCGATATGGAGAAGATCGCCTCGAATACCAATTGCGATTGAGGTGGCTGCGATCACGGCCGGTCCCGTCAAGAACCTTACTGCCATCGCAAACACTGCTACTGATTTCCCGCATGCAATAATCTTTGGTTGCAACGCCATAAATAGACCTATTTAGTATATCACCGGTTAATAAACATATATACTATAATTAGCAAAAAAATAAGAAAGACTAATATATAAGTATGTAATTTATATGAAGAAGGAACTATACCAAGACTAAACATAGCCATTCCAAGACCTGCATCAGATAATATTGAAATCGATCCACTCATTATCGTTGGCATCTTTATATTCCACCTGTCCCATATAAAAGATGGATCAACATGTAAGCAATTGACACCAATATACATTACATTTGCTATTTGTTCAAATATGTTATGTGATGTATACTAAGTACTACTTACTTGTAGGAGACAAGGGACCAAGCAAGGCCAAAGAGACTAGAGTAAGTGTTAGGGTTTCGGATAAGTTTCCTCCAGACCATAATCAGTATTAGTCTGGTCATCACGCTCGCAGGCGGCATCTGCTGTTTCCTCGGACCAGGACCACCGTCTTCAACATCACTGCCTTTTTTGCCCATGTAAGGTGACGAGGTTACCCCTGACTTCCCTTCGTTGTTACCGTCTTGGTCCATCTCCGCATGCCCTTTTCTTCCCGGTGTCATGTTCTCTATCAGATTCTGCATCGCTGTCAACATCAAAGTATATATGCAGTGATGTTGTAAATTCAAATTACTAAATTAATCAACACACTTTCACTAAAACTAAAGATATAAAAACTCTATAAGTATAATAATTAAGTAATAAAATAATAAAATGAATTAAAAGTGGAAGATAAATGAACCTTTGGAAGCAAGGTTGTCGTGAGGAGGAGGAAGAGAAGCTTTAGGATCGGTAGATAAATCGGTGGAGGCACCTCTGGTCATAGCGTTCCTGGCGTTGGCTTCTGACACTGGAGAAGCACTCGAACTCCACACAAACATGTTCATCTCCTTGTTTTGTCCTCCTCCAGTACCAGCTCCGCCTCCACCGCTTCCTCCTCCACCACTTTCCTTTTTCTTCACTCCACTTGCTCCGCTCGTTGACCCCGTGAACATCGGGTTCGGTGGAGGGTACGACGGAACTGACCATAATTATAAAACATATCTTTAGTGCAACCAAACAATAATGAAATAGTCACGAGTATATTTTTTCTATATATAACAAAGATATATTGAAAGCACTATAAAAAATATATAAAAAAATCATACCACTATTATTGTTGTATAATTCGCCACTCATACTTCTCCCTCCTCTTCCTCCTTTCTTTGCCGTCTTCATAACTTCCTCATCGAAATTTGACGTTCTTGGCGTCACTCCTTTAGAAGACTGGAGAGAGTAAACATCTCCACCAGGACCAGCTCCAGCACCGCCGTAGCTATTGGTGTAACCGTGACGAGGGCTCGGAGCTTTGCTTGCGTTAAACATTGCGTAGAAATCTGTCTGATTAAAGCTCGAAGCTCTCGGCGTCGGCTCTCGTGACGACTGGACAGAGTAAATCTCCACGCCTGTGAGATTCGAAGCTCGGGGAGTTATCATGGAGGAGTTAAGGCCTCCACCGTGAGATTTGTTGAACGATGAGATCATTGATGAGGCGGCGCTCGATCTTCGGACCACCACGTGGAGCTTTCCGTCGTCACCTATCTCCGCATCGGTCTGATTATATAAAGACAAAATCATATTTTTAAGGAGAAGAACTAATTTAAACCGGATATAACCGAACCGGTAGTAAAACAAGGTTCTGTCTCATAGTAATAAGTTGTGCATGATATTTACAAGATTTTGTGACTAAAAGCTATACATTAGTGATTAGTGTAAACACATATTCAAACCTGGAGGGGTTCACGGCCATTGAGAGAGATAACATCAGAATCAACTCGGAAGGAAGTAATTGAACCAGCCGTCTCCGGGAACTGCTCGGAGATGAGAAGCTTAGCGCCACGGAACTCAAACAAGAAGAGCATTAAAGTATACCATATGATGCTCTGAAGCACCACGATCTGCACCATTAGGTTACCGGAGAAGTCACCGTACATCGCCCGAAGCAATGGGATTCCCATAACCAACGTGTTCGGTAGTGTTGATAGTGAGAAGAGCGTTATCATCCATTCTAGGCTTCCTCTGCGGCTAAAAGCCTGAATTCATATCACAATATATATCTACTCATCAGCATATATACAAACAGAAGAATGATTTGCATGTGTAAGTGTGTTCAGATACACATTAACTAGCTCTATATCTCTAAGGCTTAGCTGGTTATGTGAGGTTTGATAACCGAGGGATGTTAATGAATCTCTAGGATATGCAATAGAGCCATCATCCGGGAAGATTCGAAACATGGACCCTCAACTTACAATGATAAGCTTTTCAAATGGTTGGACCACACTATGAATTGATTACTTATGATTCATTAATTAATCATTTTAGATCTAATAGAGCATCTATGTAATCATAGTGTTATCAAAAGGCAAAAGCTGGTAGTAAATCTACCAAAAAAAACTAGTATATATATATAAAGACTAATAAAAGATAAAATATTTATCCATTCTCAACTTGAGTTGCCAAAACAAATATGGTTAGTTCAAAATATTAGAGAAAATATATTAATTCTGTTGGATCCTAATTCGAAAAACTTATTTCAAAGTACTCAAATACTATTTTCGATATTTGTTTGCCCAAAAGTGTTAAGAGTTATAAAAAAAACCTACATGACACAATTTAACTAAAGATCTACCCTTGTTAAATCGTTAATAACCTAGTAATTAACTATGTTGGTCTACGTCTAGTAGTATATGTACACATATGTTTTCTATAACCAAATAATACATCTAGTAAAAATGATGTTAAGTTTGTTGACCATCATAACGATTGCTACTAAACGACCATCACTTAGTGAAAACAGACACAAAAAATAATATGAAAACAGAGACATGATGCATAGAATGTGGTTATAAGTTAAGAATGTAAAGATATGATGCATAGAGAGATTAATATGGAGAGACGGGCCTGCCAAAGAAAGAGTGCGGCGAGTATAACGACTTTCTGAAGAGAATCAGCGGCGAGGAAGTGGTAGTTCATGGCATAAGGATCATTGGAGGAGATGAAATGGAAAGAGAGAAGAGGAACCGCGAAAACCGCAACGAACCGGTTTATACCGGAACATTGGTCCGGAGTGAATATGCCCCACCACCGTACCGAACCATAAGCTAGCATCATAGCTACGTACAGCGGCACCATGGCCGCTAGTACGTCGTACATATCTTTGCCGGTGATCATCTTGATTTATTTTCCGGCGAGAGAGAAGAAAAAAAAAGATTATAGATGGAGAGAGAGAGAAGCGTTGTGTGGGTGATATAACGTATTTATGGAGGAGGAAGTGAAGTGAAGCTCCTTAAGACGATATTAATATAATGGTGTTTGGTGTTAAAATAATGGGATTCGTGTTCAAACACTGAATTATATAGCTAAGAGGATCGTTTGACATTTGAATACTATATTAAACACGATATAATTCAAAACCTATTTGCTAATTATATTGGATTAATGTTAATTGGACTATACAACGATTATCAGAAAATACAAATGTTACATGATAGCTAGTCCACAAGAACATATATAAACATAATTGCAATCAAAAACATCATATTCATTTATTTATTGTCAATACTATATATTATGCACCTCAAATGTGTTAATGTTTTTGTCTACAAAGAAGCCGTTATATTTTAATTATGGAGAAGAAAAATGAAACAGAGAATCTTGTCTTGGGATGAGGAAGGGTTTGGCTTACCTTTGTGTCCCGAGGTCTTTATATTATTTTTGATGGTGAAATTAAATGCTTTCAGAAGATTATATAATTTACATGCACAAATGTTAGATTCAAAATATCTACGATATAGAGTTTGATACTTTGGATGGATCCACTTGTACGTGTAAGTAAACACCACTTTCCAATATTCTCCACACACAAGGTTTCTTCTTATAATGTTTTTAGATTTTATTTTAATAGAGGAGAAGCAAAAACGATTTTTGTGTAAGCTACTGAGACGGCGAAGGTTGATGAGAAATGCACATGGTTGGTGTTTTGAGAGAGCATCTTATTACATTTTCTGAGCGATCTGCGGTTCCCTGTAAAGATCTGATTTTTAATCAGCAAACAAACAATTTGTTATTATTAATTTATTTTGTTTGCAACTTTACCATTATAAACTAGTATACAATGTGATTTTATTTCATCTGAAATTTTTGTTATTTCTTATTAATTACAGTCAAAGACATTGGCATTTGGACCGAATGAATAATATAATTAGGCTCCTTCGCTGTGTAGTTGTATTTTTTTTCTTCATATTGCGCATCGGCTACGTATTCATCACGCAGCATGATTGGGCCTAATGGACCTTTTCAAGCACAACCCCTAGTTCCTTACAAAATTACAAATCACCTTAAATACATAATTAGAACAAAAACAAAAATACCAAATCACATACATACTATATATGTAATAAACAAAATTAGGATATTGTTTTTGACTTCCATGCTGCCATGAGAGGCAAGGAGCAAGAACGTTCCATGCTGCCATGAAAGGCAAGGAGCAAGAACGATTCCAAAGATGATTCAAGTTCTAATTTGAAAACATGGTTATCCGATCTATAATACGAATTGCAAAACAAAGATTTCATTAATTCATAGGTCTCTATGTCCTCTAAGCCATCATCAAGACTTCTAATCTCTTTTTACTAAAAAAAAAAGACTTCTAATCTCTTTAAAGAAGGGTGAATTGGTATTGACCAAAAAAAAAAAAAAAGAAAAGGGTGAATTGGTAAAAAAAAATCCTGAAATGGCTTCCATGGATGCTTATTTGAATATTTCTACACAGTAGTACTACAGTAGTGTGCTTCTCTCAAAGGCTTTATATGTCTTTCACACAAATGTCGGTTCATGATATGTAACCCTAGCACGAGACAAAGTCATAACTCATAACCTTACCCGAGATCGAGGGTATACTGATGAGTGGAAGTCTACTTATAAATATTTGGGCTATGATCCGGTTGATGATCAGTTTGTAATTAACTAGTTCTCGTTTGGTAATATAGCTCTTGTCAACACAACTTTTCATTTGGAAATTTACTATATACTTCCCATTTTATCCACACAAAAAAAAAAAAACTCGTTCTCCATATCTAAGATTTAGCAATTCGATCATTAATTCCCACCAAAAAAAAAAAAAGCAATTTGATCATTAATTAGATTTTCCAATTTGTTTCATTTTGTAATCACTACCGTGAAAAATATATTTCGACGGCTTAGTTGTTCATAACTTAAAAACAACAAAAAAAAGTACAAAAAGTTAAGACTTACTAGATAAATTGCCAAGGTTGTCATTAAACTCAACATTCAAACAATGTACTTGAAAACCTTCCCATGAACTCAAGCTCTTTTATTATTGCTTTAAAATGACCACAAAATGGAATAAATTGCTTTAAAATGACTATAAAATGTAATTACTCTATAAACTAATTTGAAAGAGCATTACAAATCATGGGAAAGGAAAAAGTCACCAGAGGCAGGCCCAACAAAATACAGAGCCCACAACTATATATATCATACCTAGGCCTGGGCGTTCGGATATCGGATCGGGTTCGGTTCGGATTTTTCGGTTTTCGGATTTTTTGGATATTGATTCTAATATCCATTCGGATATTTATAAAATTCGGTTCGGTTTTGGTTTGGATATTTCGGATTTCGGTTCGGTTTGGATATAATTGTGATAATTAAATTTTAACCAAAATTTATTGGATTCGGTTTTATTCGGATATTTTTAAATCCAATTATTCTCAAATAATCCATGCTATCCAAGTATATATAAAAAATAGAAATGAGGCAAATGCCAAGTTCAAAGAACCAACTAACATAATACCATACCAATATATAAAAGTGAAGCATAAAACTGTGTCGATGCATAAGAGCTTTAAATAAACCAAACTAAACCATAAATTCCTAATGAAAAAGTAGCAAAATTCAGTAACATCCTAAAATCAATTAAAAATAACTTTTAATCCGATATGCGGTAAACGTATATATCATAAAGATATTAAAGTATATATTATAAGTTTGGTTATATATGGATATCTATTGGATATCGGTTCGGATCGGGTTTAATCCGATATCCAAAAATAATGAAAGCTAACAACCGATCGGTTATTTTTCCAATATCGGTTCGGTTTTAATCCAATTTTTTCGGTTCGGTTCGGTTCGGATTTTCGGATTCGGATTTTATGCCCAGGCCTAATCATACCAATGGCCCTTACATACATCAATACGTTATGCGTACGAATATCAACACCAAAGTTATTTAACACTCCGACACCGAAAAGTAAAAAAAAAACAACCAATACACCAAACCAAACCAAATCCCCTCAACCGGTTAAACCCAAAAAAACTAACCAGCCAGTTCAAACCAGTTACCACTAATACCTATACCGATAATGCCATCACTACCCCGTAACTTGAATCTGAGTCCTTGTGGTCTGCACATTGCTTAAAATCACAACGAACGAATTCGCCAACCAATATATAACATCTCGAGTCTCGACCATTGTTTGTCGTATGATCCTTACTTGTGCATGTTGCAGCCTTTCAGGTCCATGAGACTCGGAAAATACTACGCTCGTTTTCATAATGGGCCTTACACAAAGCCCAGTTACCTTTTTCTGTTAACGGAGTTCATCTTATCAAGCCTCCACTCGTCTCTAAGCCTGGCGATGAAATTGTCGGCTTTTGTGTTAACGTCCGGGCTTGGACAGAATCCCGGCCCACCACCGGCGCCCACGGCGGCTTTTGTTTCAGTTCCGCCGTCAGATTGAGTAAGTTCTAGTCCCCAACCAATGTCGAACACTTCTCGTTCAGGGGAGCTACATCTTGAGCTCTGATTACTCCGTATCTTCGCGAAATCACCACTCACGACGAATTTTAGCGGCGGAACTCTAAACGGAGGCGGTGGTGGAGGCGGAGGTGTAATTTGGATTAATGGAGATCCTTGTCCGTTGTTCTCTTCGTTTAAATTCGACAGTTTCGTCGGACGCGGAGGTCTTCCGGATTTGGATCTTCGTGGTGGTGTCTGAGGATCCGATTGTATCTTTCTCGGCGGCGGGGGTGGAGGCGGCGCCGGAACGGAGTGAATTTTTTTGTTGCTCTTAACTCCTTTCTTAAACAATCCGTAGAATACTGATTGCGACGATCGCGGTAGAGGCGGAGGTGGCGGCGGAGGTGGCGGAGGAGACGGTGGTGGAATTAACGATTGGTATTGCGGCGGTGGTTCCATCACATCCACCGGAGAAGATTCGATTCTTTCCTTTCTCTTAGATTTCTGAAGCTTCTTCTTCTTCTTCTTTCCTTGGTTATACAGAGAAGCGAAAACCATTTTAATCTCTTTCGCCGCATTGCTCTTTCTTCGCTGAAGAGTCCCTTGTTTCCTTGGAGGCGTAGCGGTTACAAGCGGTGGCGGTGGCGGGGGAGGAGGCGGAGGTGGTGACGGTGGAGGCACAAACACACGTTTGAATTTGGTAGGATCAGAGCTACGTTTCGTGTTTTCTTGTATGTCTCTGTTTCTAACAGAACGACGAGTCCTTCTCGGTTTCTGCGAAACTTCAACCTGAGGAGGCGGAGGAGGTGGTGTTGTCAGTGGTTGCTGTTGCGGTGGAGGCGGCGGCGGAGGAGAAGATGGTTTTACAACGAATGTATCAACAAGAATCTCTTTAGGCTCAGAAACTTCTTCTACGATCTCGATTTTAGAACGACTCGGAAACTGTTGTTCGTATGAATCGTTTGATCGGTACTTATCAATTTCGAAATCGTCGTAAAACCGGAACCGGCGATCGCCAGTCTCTCTGAAAACACCTTGTCTCAGATCAGGATACGATGTACTACTACGCCTCAACGGTACAGTTCCGGTAACCGGTAATCCAGCCGTAAAACTCCGGCTACTCACGCTCTGGTAGATCTTAAGCCTATCAGCGTCTTCATACACGTCATCAAACCAATTCTCTGACGAAACCGTCGGCGCGGAAGAGATCTTGCTATCCTCACCGACGGTCATTTCACCACTCATGACAACAGCTCCTCCTTCTTCTTCTTCAGACAGTGACGACGACGAAGAAGAAGCCAATCCGTCGTCGTTTCGTCTAGCGAGCACGCCGCATAAAATGGCGAAAACTACTAAAACGACGTTGATCGAATCCCATCCGCGCTTCACCGAAGCTGGCTGAAGAATCTGAGATGTGATCGAGAGAAACGTAGGGACGACGAAAGTCACAAATACAAGAAATATAGCAGCTGATGTAACTCCGATCATCGCTGGTACTAATATAGTCGGAACCGGTGATCTCCGACGAGTATATCCGGTAGATTCAAACTGCGGCCAGATCAGCGGCGGTTGATCGTCCATTATTTTTTGAATTGAGAGAGGAGAGAGAGAGAGAGAGTTGTCGATTCGATTACAGTACCATTTTAATGGAGTAAACGTTTATATAGTGGCAGAGAGATTAACAATAATATTAATTATCTTTTAAGTACGTTATTAAAAAAGAGGGTAATAAAACAATGATTAAGATTTATAATCATACGGACACGGAAAAGAAATGTTGTCATGGTATTGAACAATGTCGCGCCGAAGATTTTCATTTTAAAATATTAATTAGACTCAAAATTCAAATCATTGAGTTGGGAAATTCGTCGAATCGCTTCATTTTTAGTTCATAATTACAGATAATGCATTACAGAAGATTTAAATCATTTTCAGACATATATAAAAGAGGAAATATTTGAAAATGACATGAAAAACATAAAGAGATTGATATGTTATTTTCTCGTAGCCGTCCAACTATATATTTTTCAGTGATATTATTTGCGCATATAGTTCTAGTTAATTATAATTTTTTCATGATTTAATAAACATCAATTAATCAAAATGTAGTTTTACTTATGTTATAATGATTGATAAACTCATTTTAATCAAAAAAATGGTTGAGGATGTTGCCACCAAGGCCCGTCTTGGATAACCCTTGTTTACAAGCAACGTCGGAGCCGTCGACCAAAAGATTTATACAATATGTATTTTTGTTTTCTTTTGCTTAAAAAACATTAACATTAATCATGCAAGTAAATTAATGTGTATAATTGAACATATGTTGACATACCAAATACTATATTGTTTCGCAAGGAAACATTTCAACACACGATATCTCTATTATATATATACCACGAGATTTTTACTAGGCTACGGAAAACACTTCATGCTCAAAGTAAGACTTTCAATTTGTAATTATTAAAAAAAATAATACATTTTTTGGGATTAGTCAACAAATAAATATTACAAATACTAATAGTTGCGAAATTTTCAGTATAACATGGCGACATTTAGGATTAACAATGGTTTTTTTTAGGGGACTAAAAGTTTTATGTTTCTTTGAAACAAAACATCTCTTGGATTTGTACTTGATTTCCGGATATGTATTCAAATTTTGGGGTTAACCTGTGGATTTTATTCAACAAAAGTTGCAAAAACTATTACATTAGCTCACTTTTCTAAATCATTATTGTTACACAAATATGTTATGTTGTTTCCATGCTTAAAGGCTTAACATTCAAATCTGAAAGGAAAATAAAACCAGAGGTTCTAATAAATAGGACTGAAACACTATACTAGAAAAGTTAGTTAAAAGTAGAAGCTAATAATTATTTGGAACTGTTTAACCATAATTGCAATTGCAAATCCACTAGCTATAGTAATTAAAGTGGAACAAATAAGTATGTGGAAGAATGTAAATTTGCAAGAACTTACGAAACACGCAACACAACCAACACTTATAGTTTTCTTTGTATCACTAGAGCCAATACAAGATGGTTTACGTACAGACACTTATAACTTCGTAGATAACAGTTCTTACATTTGGTAGAACTCGAGTTTTACTTGTGCGTCTTTGTTACATCATACATCTTGAATTGGTCATCGCTACACAAAACATGTTTTCATCGCTCCATGTACTACGCGTGTAGGTATACACGAATCCTGTATATTATTTTAAAAGGAAGATGTACGATTATATATGGCTTGCATGAACTTAAAAAGTCCACGTATAGTATTAGACTGTGTTACATATAAATTTGGAAAATAACTTTAGAGGATGCTCATGCTCTGTTGTTGTGTTGATAGAAATAATAATTGGAGCGTGGTTATCATCATTGTAAAGTGTTTACTTACCCTTTTTCTCGCTACACCCCAACCCAAAACCTCCGCACCTTTTGTCGACCTGTCTCTGCTGCTTATGCACATTTTTATCTCTTCTCTTTACAATTATTCGTTTATAAAAAGAATAAGAAAAAGTTAATCTTTTTCAATTCACACACTAGTTTACCCTGTTTTGCAATATAATTATGCTTTTTTAAAACATGAATCATTTATAAAGAAGTCAAAGAAATATATATGATGAATCTCTTCGTAAAGATTGATTTAGACTTGTAGTTTTACAATAAGAGGACTTGAATGTGGTATTGCACGCATGCATTCTTATTACTTATTAGTGGTTGGTCCTAAAGTTAACACAACAAAACTATGGCTAAAAGCCTAAATATTTCACAACAAGTTAGATAATAAATTAAAAACTGAATATTTATGCGTAAACACATTGTATTTAGACCGTAACCAATGGTCTGAAAATATCAAGAATTCATTAAAGAAAACAAGCTAAAATTAAATCTCGAGTTTAAACTTTAGCGACATTATATATACTTTCTTTCTATTATCTTGGTTGGGTAGAGGAGTGGTTATCATGCTTCTACCTTTATAATAGCGATAGATCAAACGATATTGAAATAAAATTGTTGTCGATGGGTAGCAATAGCATTCAGATCAGCTTATATGCGTCCATAAGTCCATATACTTTTCTTCATTACTTGCCACATTCGATAAGTGGAAGGAGCAAAAAAAAAGTTGAACAAAAACTATCACTTAATCAAAAGGTGAAGAAAAAAGAAGAAAAGGGACCAGCATCCAATCCCAACCCTTTAAACTCATCTTTTAATTAATTTCTCATTATATAAACCATTTTAAGATTTTTGTAGTTTAGCACATTACTTAACACACAAAAAAACAGGTGGTCTAGTACATAATGAAATATATTTCAATATTGAAAAAGTGTTTGTTAAAAACACTTTTCGACCTAATACTACTTGTAAGGGAAATTGTTAATGATTAAATAAACTAAACCCTGTTTTTTGGGTTGTGTAACGTTCCACCTTATCGTTAATGTGTTGTACACTCGGCCACCACCATTTACTAATCCATTTTTTCATATTATTATTTTTGGAAACACACAACTAAATGCTTTATAAAAAAGCTGGGAGCATACGTTTTGATAACCGGAATGTGATCAAAAAACTTATAAGTTATAACTTATACGTAATTTGATTTCCCTGTAAATTATTTACGTAACATTTTGGCGTTAAGACAATCACAAAAATGAGAAAATTAAGGATACAAAACAATATGATGTGTACAAGTTAACAACGCATTTTTGCTTGAAAATTATAAAAGTTTGATAGTCCTAAAATTATGCCCATCGCCACCAGCTTTCTTCTCTGTGAAAAAAGAAATCTTATTAATATATTTTTGATTTGAAAATTTGGCTCTTATCTTTCGTATTCAGTGTCCCACTATTAAACCTAAAGACCAAAGCAAGAAAAGTAAGCATTAACTACAAACATATGAAAACTATTATCGACCAAAGTATTAAAAAGAGGATAGCGATTTACGTATAAAAGAAAAGTATTATAAGAGACTATTGATTTCGAGAGAATCACACCAAGTTACAATATTTCATAAACTAATCAAGAATCAAGAATGATTTACGTGGGGGTAATTTTTTTAAAAAAAAGTTAGTGAAAGAAAAAAGTGATTTTAACAAAAAGTATTTTGTCCAACCAAAAATTTGCTGAGCTATCGAATCATATAGTTTTCCATAGATCAAAGATTATATTTATTGATCATATATACACGTGACAAAATCCACCAAACGTTAAAAATGTATCTTCATCAAAAGAGACCGTGATCAGCTTCAACCAATAGAGTTATTTATCTACTAATACTAGCATATATGGATCATGTAACATAAACTAGTACCATACGCTTTTTACAAACCTTTGCCTTAAAGAAACAACCCTTAATACTATTTGCTAGCTACAAAGATAGTGTTTTAGCTAGCAAGTAGCAACCAGATTCAAACCCAATTCCCACTTAAAAAGGTTAAGAGTCAACATATAGACCGAAGAGTCGGAATTTCTTGTTTTTATTTTGTTGATGTTGTTGTTGTCGCTAAGCATGGTTTTAAAAGAAACGTTTGTTTAATAATATATACATATAATAGCAAACAAAGAAAGATGAGTAAAATAATTGGACAGAACAGATGGACATGAATCTGGAGTTTAGGTAGAGAGATACCTGTACATTGGTCTGTAAACGAGCCACAATAGGAAAAATGTAATACTATATGTTTTAACAAAGTATATAAGAAGGAGAAAGAGACAGGCTGGGAAAAGAGAGACGCTAGATGAATCGGAAGTATCGTCTAAGTTTCTTCCCAACAGCTATCTCACACAGCCTGTCTCCCCCCCAGCACCGCACGTGCCATTTATATACCACATCCAATCGTATTACTATTACACATGTCGTCTTTATTATCAATTACTTTTTTTTTTTAATATACTAATTAAAGCTCTTAATGATTCGATTATTACAGTACCTATTTGGAAGAGATCCACAATTTTGTCGTGGCATTAACCTATTGGAACCTTTTAACGATTGAGCATATAATCGAATCAATCATACATACACTTACTTCTCTTTGTTGATAAGTACAAATATATACGAAACCCCCACCGTACGTACGTACCTATCACCCGTTTCACCTTCATAGAGAAGCATGCCATGCCGTTTTGAAGTTCTAATGTACGTGCGAAACGGCTTGCTGTGTTTTGTCCACTACCTTACTACTACTGATGAATTTCATTAAAGATTAAATTAGATTAAATTGAGTTTAAATTAATGTGTTATATATATTACATTAAAGATTAAATTCATTAATTGAGTTTATGTATGTCAATGACACCGTTTTTTTCAAAGTTATTTGTTAGAAAATGTATTTTCATATACAAATTGGATATATATTATTATTTCCAGCAAACAGGCTCCACTGGATATCAACCCATTACTCCACGGCCCACCAAACTCATTACAGAACAGCCAACGATATGAAAGAACAACAAACTTAATAATCCAATCTCGCCGACTTTATTCAGACGACAATAGTAACAATCGCCAGCGAATATAATATAAGCTTCAATACAACTACTGCATGTATGTTGTTTCTTTCTGTTCTTTGTACGAGTACAACACAAGCTCTATAAGTTGTGAACAAAAATATTTATACACAACTTGATAAAAAAAAAAAGATAGAAGTAAAAAATCATTGGTTTATGTAAATGTACATGAGTTCCGCGACCACTCCTTTGATGAACACAGAACTTTTAGGTATAAATGATAGTTACACAGTTACTTGTTTTGTATATCTTTAAGGATAGTATAACCACCGGACTGCAAAAATCACGAGTAACACTAGAGAGAATCCCATCGCCTGCACCATTTTTTAACGTTGAATCTATAGTTGTTTAGACTGATCTAGAACACATTGTTACATTATGGACTACTCCCTAACAGTAATATGTATGCATACGAGATAATATTGAAGTACTTACAGTGATTGCGGAAGCAGCGAGACCGGCTCTTTCTCTAGGATCTTTACGATAATAGTTCCCGAAATAGAGAAATGCAGCATAGTACCACAAAAGTGGGAACATAAATCCTAGGAGAAAGCTGTTTACGGATAAATGAAAGTTGAAATCAGGATTAGTTTTGAGAACCGATAACACAGAATTGTCAGAAGAAGAAGTACTCACGAGAACCATCCGATTCCACAACCAAAGCATGGAAGAGGTTTGTCATATGCTCCTGTGTCCATATCGTCTGCATCTTTTACAAGCGAATATCTTCTTCTCCCACGAGCCATAGCATCTGCCGAAACAGAGACAGTGTCTTTTGCTTAGTTCATGGTAAGACGAAGATGTTGATATGAATGCTTCATCTTTCACATCTTATTCATGTATATATGAGCAAAATAAATTTGCAGGACTTGTACACACGAAAACACTAGGCTACTAGGCTGTAATAGATTGTAAAACGGATTGTAGTACTAACCTTTAAGTGCGGAATAATATCGGGCAGCTTGTTTCATGAGTTTGGTATGTCTATCAGCAATAAACTTTGCGAATTCGGTTCTACTACCATTTCCGGATACAAATTTAGTATCTGCAATGTCAAAAGATGCAATATTTACTTGCACACATATGGATGGACAGCGTATATCCACACAAAAAAAAGAAAAATCCAAAAGCAATGGATATACTTCTCCTCTAAGAACTTAGCAGTAGACTGCAACACTTGAAAATTCAGTCTCAAGACAAAATCATGGAAATAAAAATGGACAGGGAGAAACAACGTTGTCTCGTGATCTAATCTAAGTCTTCTCCAACACTTCATATATCCTTTGTTAAGGAATCTCATATCCTCCTCTAAAAACACAGCACTAGATTCAACACTTGCAAATTCACTCAAGACAACATCATGGAAATGAAAATGGACAGGGAGAAACGACTTCATCTAGTGATCTAATCTAAGTCTTCTCAATCTCAATTCAGATAATGGTATTATGCATACCGAAATCACAAAACTAAAATGCCCCCTAAGCTCTCAAAAACAAAATTCATTGGCAACAGTAAAACTAATCTGTTCCTAGACATATATGCTACTAACAAGTTAACCTCAAAGGTCACAGACTCATAGTTATAGAGAATTAAGAGAGCAATTAAGAAATATAAAGGCAAGAAAATAATTACTTTCGTCCATTGCTATATAAGAGCTCTTTGCTTATGAGTAATGGACCCAGATCTTCAATTTTCCTGTATTCATAATGGAAACCCCAAACTCAGTTTAACAAAAGATTGAAACTTTAAGCTCAGTTTCTACCAAATATGTTAGCTTTAGTAATCAACCCAATTCGTCGATCTAATGTTCAATTAAAAATAGAAGAAATTGCTCTGAAATGTTTTAGCAAAACGATCTAAGTTAGCTCACCGGAGAGAAGACAATCTAGTGAATCCGAGATGAATCTGAAACTGATAGATCAGACGAGAAGTCGTGTGTGTCTCTTCGTCTTCGTGTCTTCTTCAACTTCGTCCGCGCTTTAAATGCGTATAAAGCTGAAGAAGAAGAAAGTAAAATACACTCTTTTACTAACCACTTTATTTTGTTTTCTTCCTTTTGTATATTAGACTTCCAAGAGATACATATTTTTGACAAATTAAAAATTAAGTACGTTTATCATTTGATGTAAAAGTTTCATTATTTCTTTGTTAATTTGTTGATGTTATGAAAAGATGAAATTATTTTGGGATAAAAATCTGCCTTACATACTACTTTATTACAATATATAAAGCTTGTGGTGTAAGTATGTATTATTTTGTCTCCATCACTTTCAAGTTACAATCTAAGAATTCACCTTTTTTTTTTCTTTCTTCGTATGTTAAGTTTTCAAATTACTGTGGTAGTTAATTTTTACATTTTCTAATTCTAATTTTGGTTTACAAAAATTAAAAAAATGCAAATAATTCACCCCAACAGCCTCTTAAGATCTAAGTGGAAGAAAATTTATGTAATTTTGATATAAATCACCCAACAACCTTTTACCCCACAAGAATTTCCATAACACAGACACAACCCTTATTACACAACACCTATTTTACTAATTATGAATAGTTAACCTACTAAAAAGCATATATTGTTTACATAACGTACTAAATCGCCAATTTTCCCTTCTATTTATACCCCTATTATTTATATAAATATATATATTTCTGACTCTTGTCAATAATTTTACACAAAAATTAAGTTGGAAAAGAGAGAAGTAGCAAAGCATCAAATAAATAACACTATAACTTAACAGAGAAGAGGGTGGTGTTTAGTTATTACAATTAACCCCATGATAAAAAATTCACAATGAGTTTTTTTTTGGGAAGCTACATTATCTCATTTACATTATATCAAGTTAGACAAAAGAAAATATTAAATAATGGTGGGAAGATAACAAAGTAAACAATGAAAATTAAGCAGGAAAATTAATATTACAAACAATTAATAATATTAATTATTATTACCTATTCCATTCTTAATTTTTTTTTTCTTTAAAAGAGATTATTTACCCACCATCAAAACTTTTTTTTCTTCTTCTTCCAAACCTTCTTTCTTAATTCAAGGATTTGCTCTTGAACTTCCTTATTCCCTTCAAATCAACCACTACTACACTTATATTGTCTTTGCTTCCTTTTTGCAAAGCCATCTTCGACAAATACTCAGCTGCGGACATTGCCGCCGGATCCTTTCCTTCTCCTCTTTTCTCGGCCGGAAGCAAAGCATCTCCGGCCATGGCGTTCTTCTTGTGCCATAGCAAAATCCTTTTCCTAGCCAAATCGCACACTTCTTCGTTTGTCATTACATCCCAAAGACCGTCACTTGCTAAGATGAGACAATCATCTTCTTTGACTCTCCGGACTGAAGTCACTTCCGGATCAGGGATCACTGATGGTTTCAGGTATCTATCACCTGTTTGTAACAGTTTACAATGTCAGGGAACTATTAAAAGAACCAAAATCACTCTGGGGACAAAGTAAAAGCATTACCTATAGATCTTGACATTGCGAGCACACCAAAAACACGAGCCCCGTTCCAACGGATTACTTTGCCTCCGGCTGCTTCTATCCTAGCCGCTTCATCATCTCTATCCGGCTACACATAAATGAGACTCAAAACGCTATAAGAACGTTGACCAATCCATACAAATAGGCTCTGTTTGTTAACACCGCAAAAAGAAACCAACTATATAATTGAAATCCTGCATATTATACTACTAATCGTTTAGAGTCATTCATACAAAGTAACTGCCATACACCTAAAACTATGTTAACACAACATTACAGTACTTACTTTGTGATCAGTGGACAAGGCGAGTGGCGTTTTGCCACGGCACAGAACCGCCCTTGAATCGCCGCAATTCGCGACAAAGATATGAGTCGGAAAGACAACTGCTACCACCGACGTGGATCCCACCGTCTCAGGCGCGTGTGCCACGGGTTCGATCTCCGAGTCAACTTTCATAAAAGAGTTGAACAAAGCCTTCTTCCACTTCTCTTGCCACGTGTCACCGTCACAAAACTCCGGCTTCTCCTTCACTATCTCCTCCGTCAAAGCCAGATGCATCCTCTCACGGCAATAATTCGCTACCTACACACACAACACACACAAAACCACATCTGAAAACCACACTTTTGCAGCTTCCGATCAAATTCAGAATCGATTGATTCGATTAACTTACCTGAGAACCGCCATGGCCATCGTAAACACCGAAGAAATGGGCACTCGAGTGAGGATTGAATCCGTTAGTAACCCGACCATCGAGCAACGAACTAGACGCAACTTGAAGGAACCTAGGAATCGTCGAGACAGAATCTTCCATCTCTGGTCGTCTTCCACAAATCGAAGTCACTCCGTATAAAGGCACACTCTTGAACTCGAAGAGACTTCTACTCTCTGTTCTACTAAGTACTTTCTTCTCACTCTGATTCGGCGATCTCGGATCAAACTCATCTGAACCGTTCATCTCATCCCCGGCGGAGATATCCACGGTGACGTCTGGTACACTAGCCACAGCAGATGATGACGTTGATGAATCTTGTCTCGTACTGATCTCAAAGGATGAATCTTTCATAGCTCCCTCGTCGGAAATCAAAGACCCGGAACCGGAACAAGAATTTTCCGGTAAAGAAACCCTAGATTCGCCGCTGCAGTAGCTTCTAATTCCGGCGTGTGGCTCAGGGAATGGTCTGAATGGAACAGCTACAGCAGGAGAAGCTTCGTCCATTAATGGAAAAAAACACAAAACCCACAAGTTCTTGATCTCTCTCCACAAAGACCCAAATCAGAAACTCAATGAAAGGTGCCAAATTTTTTGATGAAAAAACTGAAACTTTTCAAAGAGACAGATGTATGATTTTTAAAACGGTTCAGTGGAAGAGAGAAAACAAGAGAAAGAAGGGAAAAGTCGACAGAACAGATTTGAAACGTACAAATTTATGAGAGTGATAACTTTATTAGAGAAGATGAAGACAAGAAACTCATGACTCATAAGAGGAAAGTGAGACAACCTTAGCTAGCACATGAAACAGATAGAGATTTACCAATTAAAGAACCCAAAAAAAAAAAAAAGCAAAGCAAAAAATTTCCCGAGAAAATCACCACCCAGAGAGAAAAAGAAAAATTCAATCAGAGTTTCCTGGATTCTGGGCAATTCGTTTCAGCCATTTAGAGATTCTGATCTCTCTCTCTCTCTCTCTCCTTCAATTAATTTTTTAGCTAAATCTAAAAGAAAAGAAAAAATCGGTTTTAAAATCTGCCACATATGAGAAAGGTCTTTTTATTTGTTTACTACACAACACAACACAGCACAAAACGAGAGATGATGTTTCAGTCTACAAAAAATAATAAATCGAAAGACGTTTACTATGAATTTGCGCTACATGGAAAACAAAATAGTAAAATTTCTTTATTTTTATTTCCTTGAGTTTTGATTATTTAACTCCATTATTGCGTATCTATATCGAAGTTTTGAATACACATGCTTATACGTTTTAGCCTTGGACAAAAAAAATATCCCGCATTTTAAAATAAAACGCTTGAAAATGTTAGATTTAGATAAATCTGAACTTACACAAAAACACAATGAGTAATTTGCATAACATGCCACATGAGACATGTCAATAGAAAATTATGATAGGTGATGAACAAATGAGTTAAAATTTTATTAAGGTAATGATAGAATTGCTATTAACTATTTCTAAGACAATAGTAGTTTAGAAGGTTAACCCCACTTACAAATTTTCTTAATAACATCAAAAATGATGTTTTCGTAGTAAACTATATAACTATTCATACAGAATCTGAAAAAGCCCCTGATTACCACCACAAACACTGTTTTGATAGTCTTTGTATATAATAAAATAAAGAGAGGTTGTGAATACTACTTTGGTAAAGAAAAACTTAAAAAAAAAAAAAAAGAATTGAACAATTACAATTGTGGAAAAACATTAAAGAAATTGAAATTCGGGTGAATGGATACCAAAAAAAGAAGGAAGTGTGTGTTGTTGTCAACAGATGATTCTTTTTTTCTTCTTTCAAACAATAATGATTATAAATAAGAAAAAGAAAAAATCTTTATTTTTTTGGGGTTTATTACAATAACAATCAAATGGGGCCCATACTTGTCGGAAAGCAGACCGGATGGTCGCCACGTAGACAGAGAGAAAAGTCATTTAGATTTGGTGAACAAACAAAAAGAAGAGGATGACGTGTACGGTGAGAGATCTGTTAGTTGGGGTGGCGGGAAATGATGAGGTTCATTGCACTGACATCGACACCTCTCTCTCTCTCTCTCTCTCTTTTAACTTCCGTAAATATCTTTCTTTTTCTGCTTCTGTTAAAAAATCATAATAATACTCTATAGTTTGTTTCAACGTGTTACGTAATGATTGGACCATGTAATGATATGTGAATGAAAGTACAGAGAAGTAGTATGTTGTAGCTTTGGATGTGGTAAGCAAAATATATATAATAAAACACTCACAATTGATATATCAAGTACACCGAATCAAATTGAAACTTATGTTTTTTTTTTGTTTCTCTTTTATTTGATGAAAACATATAATTTAATGGATATGAATCTTGTGAGCCTTTTATGATTTAATTTCTTTTTATTTTTTGTTCGGGGGAGGAGGAGCTACGTAGCCACGTAGGTAGACAGAGCTCATGCAAAAAAAAAAAAATTTAATTTTTTTGATTCAATGTTTATTTTGGGTCTATCACAGCTGTCAGATAAAGTAAAATATCTTTTGATATTAAAAAAAAGTAAGAAAGGAAAAATAAAGTTTATGTTTATTTGTATATGTGTCGCAAATTTTTTGAGATGATCAGTTGCAACACGGATCTGTTGCAAAGTGTGTATAGAGAGCACATATACAGTGCCGGTCACATAACCACCACCATCTACATATATAGTATATAATCTTTTATTTTATTTTTTAGTAAAATGTAATCATATTTTGTATTTAAATACAAAATCATATTTTCTTGATTCGTTAGACATACTTCTAAAATATCTGAACTCATATAAAAAAAATAATGAAAGTGGAGTAATAACAATTTCGAAAGTGTTTACTTGAGTGAAGTAAATGTTGTTGTCATTCGAGAAAAAATTAAAAAGAGCAAGATGTAAAAGTTACCAATTGGACTGGGCTTTGGCCCATCGATTGTCTGATAGCTTTTGTTATTAAATTGATTAGTTCACACACATCAATTTGGATCAACGTAATGAAACTTGATTTTTTTTTTTTTTTTTTTTTTTTTTTTTTTTTGGTAGTGTGTTAACTTGACTTTTGATCTGTGGCTCAGATTTTTTTTTTTTTTTGCTACTTAATTTTCTTGAACCAATAAAAAAAGAAGTTAGTAATCGAATCTTTATGGCAGAGACAAAGAGCCTCTTCCTCTTGCGTTAAGACTTGAGAGCCTTAAAAATCAGACATCAAAGATTCCCTTCCATGGCGTCCATTTTTAGACCTTCAGTTTCACTTAATCTACGACCAGAGGTAAACAGTTAAGCTCCTTTACTCAGTACTCGCTCATATATTAGGTTACTCGATTTCCAGAATTTGACAAGTGAGTTTAGAGTTTTGGGTATCGTTTCAATAACGATGACTATTTTTTGGTTTGATGATGGATTGTTTTTGGTGTTTGGAAGGTTACTTATTTGAATCTCTCTACGAAAGAGAGGTTTGAGTTTCAGAAGAAGAGTGTGACGAAACAAAGACTCAGTCTTAGGTTTTGTAGCTTGAAAGCTAATAAAGCACAAGGATCATCAGTTGAAGGGATTAGTGCTGTAGAAGAGAAAGAGCTTACCAACAAAACAGGTACTTAACTGATCTGATCCCGCCTTTTTTTTTTTTCGGATTAAAGACAGAACTAACAAATAAGATTTGTCATCATTTTCTTTTGGTTACAACATTCTAATGTCATTATTATCTAGACTTTATGCTCGCATTAAACCAGTTTGGTTGTGGTTTTTGATTGTTGATTCTAGATTATGGAGTTGTTGGGGTTCACCACGTTGGTTTGCTCTGCGAGAACTTAGAACGTTCACTTGAGTTTTACCAAAACATTCTAGGTCTTGAGATCAACGAGGCAAGACCACACGATAAGCTTCCATATAGAGGAGCTTGGTTATGGGTGGGTTCAGAGATGATTCATCTTATGGAACTTCCAAATCCAGATCCATTAACAGGTAGACCTGAGCACGGAGGCCGGGATCGACATGCTTGTATCGCAATCCGTGATGTTTCAAATCTGAAGGAGATTTTGGACAAAGCTGGTATACATATTGATTCTTTATTTCCTTGTCTTTGCTTAAAAGGATATTTGTTTTTGTTATAAAGAAGGTTTTGTTTTTTACTCTGCAGGGATTGAATATACAATGAGTAAGTCAGGGAGACCAGCAATATTTACTCGTGATCCAGATGCAAATGCTCTTGAGTTCACTCAAATTTGAGTTGTGAGTCTTCTCTTGCGTATAAGTTGTAGATACTCTTCATGTTCCAGTCTTACCACCAAATCACGTGTGGATCAGTTTTATTAAGTTTGTATTATGTATTTATGTTACATACCCATTAGGTCCACTGTGAATGGAATTGAGAAAAGCAAACCAAATCTTTGTTGAATTATTCTTATTTGATACCACAATAAACATTAGAGTAAAAAAAATAACACTACAGACTTGATACACCCGATTCAAACAAGTTCAGGGTATTATAATTTAGTATTTACAAATTAGACTATATAGTGTCTAGTGTGATCAAAAGGAGCCAAGAGTAGTGGAGAGGTCTAAACGTGAACGAGACCGCCACTCTTGTATAGCTGATTTGAGGGTGTGGTTTGGTGTGAGATCTGAATGTTTCAGCCGATGCTTAGTCACAGGAGACACATTTTGATGTTTTTGCATCCATGCCTTTATCGCTTTTCCTTCATAGGTGAATCCATCTGCTGCTATCTGTGGATCTTCCATTATTTCCTGCAATCAACCCAATCAAAATATTTAAAAAACCAGAACCATCAAGATTTCTTGTTCTTGCTATGGTTGTTTTTTGGTTTACCTTAAGAATTGGACAGTAATAGTGAGTTGGTGGTCGTGCATTAGCCTGCTCTGTCTTCAGTCTACTATTTGCGGATTCAAGAATCTGTTTTAGAGCGGGCAAGACTTGTGTGTCAAGATCTGGTCTGTCTCTGCACTTGAGCTGTGAACACTCAACTGCGATACGAGCTAGTTCTTTCGTTTCAGTTATGGGCCAATCTCTGACTGATTTATCTAACATATCTTCAAAACAGCCTCTCTTTAATGCGTCTTCAACACAGAAAAGAAGACCATTGGGATGGCGACCAGTTAAAAGCTGGAGAATTATGATTCCAAATGCGTAAAGATCTGACTTTGGTCTGATAGTTCCGGTTCTTTGGTATTCTGGGTCCATGTAGTAGAGTGTACCCGCAATAATCGAGTTTCTGTATACCGTGACACTGTCCGGTGCTTCTTCTGACATGAGTTTTGCAAGTCCAACGTCGCCAATTTTGCTAACGAAGTTTCTGTCTAAGAGTATGTTACCTGGCTTGAGGTCGCGGTGCACGATGGGTTCGGGTTTTGAGCTGTGGAGGAAAGCTAGGCCACAAGCAGTTTCGTAGATGATTCTGAACCTGATGAACCATGAGAGAGATGGTTTCCCTTTTTTAGGAGTGATGTGACTGTCCAAACTACCATTCTCCATATATTCATAGACAAGGCAGCCATTTTCAGGACAAGCACCAAGGAGAAGAACCACATGGGGATGTCGAAGCTGGCTTAAGACTGAGATCTGCAGGTAAAATTGGACAGTGCATTTCAGATATCAGACAGATTGAAAAGGCTGTATTATGAGATCATGAGATTAACTTAGTAATATTGACCTCTTTTAAGAATTCTTCTTTCTTTTCTATTGAATCGGGTTTGAGAACTTTAAGAGCTACTGGAGTATGATCGAGACTGCATTTGTATACTTTCCCATATCCTCCTTCGCCAATTATTTTACGGGAAGAGAAATTATCGGTAGCCGCTGCTATTTCTTCTTTTGTGTACTTTCTGTACCGCCCATCTCTCAAGAAAAGCTGCTCAATGACTTTCTGTTTCTCTATGGACTGTTTCAAAGCATCTAGCTCGGCTAATTGTCTATCGCAGAACTCTTTGGCTAGCATTGATTTTGCTTCCTCAACTTCTTTTACAGCTTTGAGATGCTTTTCTTTCTCTTCTGCTGCTGCTTTCCTCCGCATTTCTTCTTTTTCCAGAGCAGTTATGACCTTCTCCGTTTCTTTGATACACTCAGAGGAAAGAGATTGGACCTGAGGTCACAACGTGGGATTGAGTTTACGAATCCATCAGATGCAAAAACATTTTATGGAAAAGATTTTGAGAAAAGAATGTTTGGAACTAGAACACTGACCTGCGTTTGTTTATGAACTAGCTCTTCACAAGCTTGTTTGTACATGGAAAGAGTGGTTTGTACTTCTTTCCTTAGCTGCTCGACCTCAGATTTAACATCTGACTGCAAAAACAGGTCTTGATATCAAAATCATATGCATGTTGTGTAACAGAGAACAAACGCAACATAGAGTGTAAAAATGGTTGTATGTTAAATGCTTCACCTTTGGTGTTTTTATGTGAGGTCTAGGATCCAACTGCTTTTTAATGCTAGAAACAGTACTATGTCTAAGGATAGAACGAGTGTGTTCGTCATTGACCAAACCGACATCAGTTGAAGATTGTGCATCAGAAAACACTCGAGAGGTTGGATGACTATGCGGTAAAGAGGCAGGCCTTCCAATTCTCTTCCGGCCTGAGGAAGCAATGGATGAAGCAGACAAGCTTGTCTTATCCGAACGTGTGCGACTGAAAGATTCGGTATAAGCTTCAGCTCCTTCGGGTATACGGAAACTAGATGATGAATCTGTCAAAAGTTTCGAACGGAAACAAAAACCACAGGGGGAATCAATAAAACTGAAATATACACTTTAGATTAATGGAAGTGAAACTACTTTGAGACATACCTGCAGTAAACTGATTGGTTGATTTGGTCAAGATTCTATCTTTACAAACAACGTAAATCTCACATGCCTCAGGAGCTTCGCCAAGTACCGTTAATGGCAACTCTTGTCCTTTTTTCCTACCAAAAACCAAAATCAGAAACGTTTGAGCAAAGATCTTGTGATGTAGATAACAAATCTCATTTTGGAAACAATGAAAAAATACCTTGTGAGGAAATTTGAAGAGCAAGAGCCAATGACTAAACACTCAACCTCAGTATCTGCCATATACTTCAAAAGTGCCTTTGCAGGATCATTATGTTCCAGCAACAAAGTCTCAACCTAACATTTTTTTGCACCAGTAAATTTTTTCCATAAACACCCCAAAGTTCCAAAACCCGTAACAAAAATTTTAGGCTTCACACACAAAAACAAACTCACTTTGTTGGATTTGCAGATCTTCTTGAACGGCACAAAAACTTGTTCATACTCTTTTCTCAAATCTCGTTTATACATCGACACAACACTCTCTTCTAATTCCTCCACAGGAATCTTCGATCCAGCTTTACAAAAACAAAAAACAAAATCACCTTAAATTTTTTCGTAAAATGATGAAACTGACGAAAAATTCGAAGCGAGACTTACAAGGAGATGGAATAGTTGTGACGGTAGGCATGACATGAACAAGAACTAATCGATCGATTTCGGGAAGGAGATTTTCGATAGTCCAACGAAGAGCACGACGGCTAGCAGTTCCTCCCACGGCGTCACCGACGGATCCTTTAACGGCGACGGCTATTGAAGAGTACGACGGAGCTCCGCCGATTGATTCAAAGAACTTGTTCGTCATCACCACCATGAAAATGAAATTAAAAAATGATTTTGAAGAGGAAATGGGTTTTTGGAGAAGAAGAAGAAGAAGACCCCGCGTTATGTTTGTTGACTTAGATGGGAAAGTAAAAAAACAAAGTGGGTGATTGATGTATTTATTGAAAATTTTAAAAAGCGCCTGTTTATTAGAAAAGTCTTTTTCGAAAAATTTGATTTGTTTTTTTTTTGTTATAATGGGGCTTACATTTAGGTGAAACTTTAAGATACTGTCGTTTTGTTTATTTATGAATGTTCAAGGTTTTGATTTAATTTGTCACGACGATGAAGAAAGAGTATTAAGGAATGATTAGAAAGCATATTAGGTTCTTATATTGTTTTTTATGGGTTGACATTTTGCAAAGACTTATATCTAATAATACATTTTTGAATAAAATGTGCAAATAGAGAATTTTAAAAATGATTTTTTTGACTAGTAACTGTTTTTAAAATGGGGGATGAGAAGAATTTTTAGTGGATTGATTAATTTAATTAAGGATTAAGATAAATATATATTGCTTCTTCTAAGATTCTGTATGTGGTGCAACGAACATATACTTGTTCTCTGTTCTCGTTCATATTTGATAAATGATTAAAGACGGCACACTACCCACTTGCAGTAGCTAAATATTCCCAATTTCCGGACAAGAAATTTTATAAAGCATAGAAAAATGTACTACTAATAGATTAGTGGGAGTGAGTATTTGCACTTAATAACACGAAAATTATCAAATTAAATTAAATGGCATTAGTCAAAAATTTCTGCCAAATAATATGGATGGAAACATGTCTTTTGAACATCACTTGTAAGCATTGTAGAATACATAAGTTTATAGAATCTAAAACTCTTAATGAGAAAATTGAGTTTCCCATAAACAATCAAAGACACGTTTCACAAATTGTCTTTTTCTCTCAATTCTCAGTCGCTTACTGATTTTTTTTTTCTTTGGATCACTCCTTAGATTTTCTATACACGTTTGTTTTTCCAACGTCCTAGTACTCCACATATCATTCTTCGATCGATTATTCAGATATACCACATATATGTACACAACAAACCTAAGAGATGATTAGAGAATCATACTCTGAGATAGGTTCGAATCATGGTTGCTCCGGTTGGATCAGAGATGAGATGATTGATGAGACCTTTTCTCAAATTGTTTGGTGATATGACGAACATGTACAGAGCAAAGAGAACGAGATCTCCTGATGTTAACGTTGATCCTAAAAACCCTCGCCACATCCTGATTGATGTTAGTGAAAAGCAAGAATCAATCTCTTTGCTTTGCAATAAACACATTGTTTAGTAAATGGATCAAGAATCAGCTTCTTACCATTTTGGGAGGCGGAAGAAAGTACGGAAGAAGCTTCTAATGCCTTCAATATCGAACTGAACTATGAGCGCAAGCCCAAAGAGAAAGAATGCTCTTTGACGTTTCCTTTCTGGTGGCCATAAAGTATCCCAAGCTGCCAAAAAATGGAAACTCACAAGTTATAATTTTAAAAAGGTTTGTCATTGTCTGAGAGTATAGATAACTTTGTGGTTTATATAAAGCTCACCTTGTCTTGAAATGTTACTGTTGATTTGTTTGGTTAAGAAAGTAGTGGACTCTTGTTTTAGTATCTCCGCGATGACTGATGCATAATTCGGAGCTTCAGACAAAGATCTCACAACTGAATAGCCTATTTCATTGAGAAACCAAATTGAAGTCATGGATGGTGCAGATTCAAAAGGTCAAAAGGTTAATAAACTCAGGTCAAGGCTTCCTCTAACTACCTGTTGCGGGATGTACCATGCTAGCCGCGGCACCAAAGGCGAGATTCTTTTGTTCGGTGTTTGGCAAGGAACCACCAACAGGGATATAGGACCATTCCTGTAGTTTTAGTACTAAACGAATCAATAAAGCAAACTCAATTGTTTTTATGGTGTTCAACAAGTAGAGTACTATTCTATATGTATAGATTTTTACCTCTTCGTATGTCTTTAGAACTCGAATTCCAAGTGTATCTAATCGTAACATGAGCTTCCTTTTTAACAAATCAAAGGGCATAACATCTTTTGAAGCCAAACATGTCTCCTGCAAGGTTTTCCAGCTGATAAGCAACAGACTTTTCGCAATAGTGATTATGATAGAAGGATAAAAACAACAACCTCAAAGAATACTCTTGTCTTTGTCATAGGCATGGCGTACAGAAACGTTGGATATTCAGCTTCTAAGCTCCGAGCTTTGTCGTTTGTATAATCTCTGTAATCCATAAAAACCATTTGCTCTGGATCATATGGACTGTTTTCCACCTGAAAATATCAGATAGAATAGATGAATAGTCTTAATAATTCCTCTATTTAGTTATTACTGTGGGAACATCATATTAAAATTATACCTCAACCTCCACGCCGTATGCAGTTTGGACACAGACTCTAGGTCCCCCAACTTCGTATTGTAAGAGCTTCCCGGAAGCTGCTCCAGAAGCAACAGTGGCAAGCCTGCATTTGCTAGAAGTCAGAACCTTCACATGTCTCCAAAACGTTTTCTTACAACAGGAATAGTACCATCTCTGGTTCCAATCTTGTACCTGCATGGAATGACGACATTGCCTTCACAGGAAACAAGTCTAAGGCCATCAGACGCTTCTGTTATGCTGTCAACTTTCGAGCTAAGGTACGAGACACCTGACTCGACACACCTAGGAGACATTAAGAACTTATTACGTTCACAAACAATTCAAAGTCAGGAGATGCATAAATAACGTTTTAAAAACACTCTCCAAGGGTGCAGAGTGGAACCATTCTTTACCTCCGCAAGAGCTCTTCGTGGAGCAAACATCGACTAACTCTTCCATAAGCACGGCCAATTGTAATGGGATTGTCATCGTCCAGATACACAATAGTGTCTCTCCAAACATGCTCAATACATTTTTGCAAGCCAAGATCTTAAACAGTATCAAAACGAAGTTATTACAATAACCAGAGCAAAAGTGACTAGAATGATGGAAGAACAATATTAGTGAACTTGTACCATTGAATTCATCTTCCCAAACACCGTAATTGTTAGTGAAAGGAAGATCTGGACCGATCAGTCCAACTTTAAGTCCTAGCTTAGCTGATTCCGCAGCCAAGGCTAAACCAGCAGGACCACAACCAATAACCACTAGGTCCAAAGCACCATCCCCAATTGATATAGGAGGTAACTGTAAAATACATAATCAAACTATAAGCTCCAAATCCAGAATAAAATTAAAACTGATATGGCTAGTACGATCCGTAAACACTCAAGAACAATTCAAACCTAGAATAAAAAAATCAAAGGGACTTAGATAACGAGACGTTCGTTTTCTTCATAAACAAGGCAAGGCAAACGTGAAACGGACCTTATCAACAAGCTTAGACTGTTCATCCATGTCTTTGTTCTGCTGCATTTGAACGAACAAGATCTCAGAACCACCAGCTTTCACAAAATCTTCTTCGTCAGAGAAACCCTCTCTCACCGCCACGCAACTCTCAGTACTACCGGAGCTTCCGCCGCCGCTAGCTCTGACACTACACAAACCGAAACGAATATTCCTAAAGCTGTATCTCTTAACCACCGGGAATTTCCTCGGAGAACTCCACGACGGAAATGTTGAGACCGCCATTGCAGCGAAATTCCTAGCCCCAACACACTCCATTTCTCTCCTCCCAGAATAAAATAAATGAAATAGATGATAGAAAATATCTTCAGCAAGAAGATGAGAATCTCTCACACCATTGTTATAGTACTAGTGAGGTGATTTATATCTACCAGAAAGAGGAATCTAATTTTTTCCCTTTTGGAATATTTGGAAAAAAATCTCAGCAAAATTTTCTCACAATTACTTGGAAAAGCCTTAAGGACGAGAGGACGATATAATGGATAGAACCGCGGCCAGGATGGGACTCTTTTCGCCACGTGTAATACTCTTATTGGTGTATCTCTGCCTAAACGTCCTTCTTCAATGGATACACGTGTAATTCTCTTATTGGCTTATGTCTGCCTAAACGTCCTTCTTAGACCTTCCCTAATAATATGAGACACGTGTATTGAATTTATTGGTTCGAGCAATCTAAAGTTACTTAAATGCAATCTAAAGGCACACCTACGTCGTTTTAGAAGCACACTAAGATGGGCTAAACAAGGGAAGTAACTAAAGCACGTCCAGAAATTCAAAAATTGCATTGCCAAAAGAATTAAAACTCAGTTTCAGTAACCCATGGAAGCAGTAACAGTTCAAATGGAAGAAGCACAAAAAAGAAACACCCAAACTTCAAGTTGGTTGATACCAAACTAATACCCATCAGAGCAAGTTATTGTGCTTATAAGAGCACAAGTCCAAGTTCTGATGGCTTCAAGGCACTTTTCAATCGGTAGTTGTAGAGATAGTAATGGAGCTGTCCATCTCCTGGACCAAACTTCAGCTCTTTCAAAAAACTCTCATTGTGCATCACATCCAGCGCGTTAAACACATCGAAACCCTTTTGCTTTGACACGATGAGCGCATCATTCATCAGCTGAAGAAAGGAAGTCTGTGTGGCGACATTGTAGTAAGAATAAGCAGCTTTCAATGTTGTGTAGTTGGGGTTACCAAGGATAGTTGAAGGTAGAGTGTAGAAGCTGCAGAAGTCAGTGACATCATGAGTTTCAGGGCTCTCTACTAGGTAACTGTCCACCACATCTTCTCTCGGGAGTAGCCAATGCTCAACATCATTCTCATCAAAGTCGGTTGCAACTCCAAACTGGCTAAGGTAGTTCCTAAGCAACCGTGTAACAGCAGGGACATCGCGTGGTTCCATTTTCCTGAAGCCCGGAGTGATCGGTGCATCTGGCAGCTTGTAGAGTTTTATGGTTCTGCTCATTGTCATTCTCGCACCAAGCCTTGAAAACCCAACATCGATTAGCTTCTTCGGGTTCAATGACCTGTGCCAGTATTGGCATGTGGTGATTGGTGTGGGAAGTACAACTCCTGCGGTATAAGCTGCTTGCCATATGTTCTCCAAGTGAACCCTTCTAGTAACCTCCTTGATCATGACAGGAGCAAGTCTCTTAGACCTGAGCTTCTTGTGGACACACAAGAAATTGATCTCTGCCATTTTCACAACCTCGTCACGCACCCTGATTCTTGCTGGCACACCACTGATGAAAGCAACAAGTTTCTTCGATGTCTTGGCACGGACTCCAATATGCCAGCTCTGGTAGTAACCAGGTGGACGCAGTGCCCACCTTAGAAACTCCTTGGAATAATTGAACCTGAACATATTCTCATCATCCTCAACGTAGTTGTTCTTGAGAAGGTTGTACACCTCTGAACACATATCATCAGAGTTCATATCGCAAGTGGTCCATTCATAAACAGAGGGAAGGTTATATGGCTCTTGCTTGACCTCAGATAACGGAGTTGCAGGTTCAATCGGGCCTTCAGGCAAACTCGTATCCCCAATATCCTTAAACTGCCCAACAGGTTGAGTCTCCCAGAACTTATGCGTCTTTGCCTCTGACATTGAATCTTGGAACCTCCGAACTATGGTTTCCAGTGAAGTATCATCCTTAACCAGTGGGTTTGCTTCAACAATTTGATCTGCTTTCTCTTCTACAGAGCCAGGTGCTGAGATGTTGTCTGCCATTTCCTACAATTACAAAACTTAACAAGCTAAGCAGGAGAACAATAACGAGTAAAAACAACAACAAACCAAGCGTATAATCAACATCGGGCAAATCGCCAAACGCAATTCTAGCTAACTCTTTGTAAGCTCCTCCAAAATGTAACATCTCTAAGTCAATCCCTCCGAGATCGAACTCAATACGTAAAAAGCACAGGCTAAATCAAGCAAGACAGATCAAATTTTCCATGTTCTTAGGTTACTCGTGAACTTTAACGGGAGAAAACCCAGTGATTATACTAACAAACGATCAGATCTTACGAAAACAAAATCAAAAGAGAAACGATAAAGAATTAAAAAGACTCACCGATGTCGCCCGAGCTGAAGACTCCTCCTATTCGCACCGATTACAGATCCTTGAAGAGAGAAGTAGCAGATCTCTCGAACGATTTTATTGATTTCGAGTTTAGATTCGAAATCAACGAGATTAGGGTTCCACAACGAGCAAACTCTTCCGAGAGGACAACGAATACGGAAATGAACACGGGTGTGATGTGTGAAGGCCGGATAGTTCTATCTCATATTTCTTGTATATTGCATTTTGCCCCCACTACATTCCTTTTTATTTTAATTTAACCCCGTTCTTTTACTCTATATTGGATTTATCCTTTTCCTCAAATCACACAATACATAATACGGCCTCGTATTGCTGAAAAAAATACATTTATACTGATGCTAAAAGCTACTATAGCTTAATAATATATACGATGATCCAATTGCAAAACACTGAATTTAATTTCCACTTCGTAGTAATGAAATTTAGAAAAAGTAAATAAAAAGACGAAAACAAAAAAAAATCAGCGAACTTTTCTCGTTTCTCCAATATTTAAGAGTCGAAAGCTTTGTAATATATAAGAAAAAGCTCTGAACAAAATACGACAACTCCGCTAAGCGATGGATGGATCAGTGGTGGTGAAACCTTTCGTCGGAGACTTGGAGGGTCTCAATGCCTTTGATTGCAGAATCATAATGTTTTCTGGTTGAAGAAGATCTCTTCCCTTCCGACGTTGTAATCACCGGAGAGTTTCTTAATCCGGCCCCGGTACGGCATCTTTGTAGCTCTTCTGACGTTACTCTCCTTGATGATCCTGCTGATTGTGCAAACAGCGACGAGCTTGGCATCTGTTTAAATTGTGAATAGTATTTAGATATCGCTAGAACAGTGTTTGTTGTGTAGAGAGAGAGAAAAAAAACCAAGAAACAGAGCAATGTTTCATACCATTGGGCCTCTTGATGACAAGTTGCCAGAGTTTTCAAGAGCTCCTGACATTCTCCTTCGTGATGAATCCATTGGTGGTCTCCCTCCTTCTTCCTCGCCTTCAAACAGACAAACAAACAAAGCTTTAAACTTTCTAAGTTTTAAACATTCGATTGGCTGAAGAGCTCGTAAGTTTTTACAATTCTCACCTGTGTATCTATCGATGCTGGTTAGTCCGGGAGGCAAACCCGCACTAGTTCCAACCGCAGGATTTACTAAGCCACGGGATGGAGGAGCTGTTAGTTGTGACTGTTGATATTTCAATATGGTCCAGTCAAAGACATAATCGAATTGAAACCCTGGCAAAAGAGAGAATGTCAGAAAGCACGGAGTTTGGAAAACATGGGGATTTTAAGGAAAAATTAAAAGTTTCAAAACCTTCGCGAATGAAGAGATCCCGGAATATTCTTTTGAGATAACTATAATCTGGTTTATCATCAAATCGAAGCGAACGGCAGTAGTGGAAGTAAGATGCGAATTCAGATGGGTAACCACGGCACAAGGACTGGAGAAAGATGAGCAATTTGTTACGGAAAAAAAGAGTTAAAAGTTAGAAATAAAGGATCAACTTTGTGATTGAAAGTTTACCTCAATTGATGTCGAGACTTTCTTTTCACTGATTCTCTCATACTTTTGTTTCTTGGTTCCAGCTTTAAGTCCTTGCCAGGGAAGACTAAAACAAGACCACCACATAATACAACAAGGTATGAGAAGACAAACAAAGTGAAATAAACGGGAATGTAGTTAATATTACTCACCTTCCTTTAAGAAAATACATGAGAATGTAACCAAGAGATTCTAGATCATCCCTTCGGCTTTGCTCTAGATAAAAGACATTAAATTAATACAAGGACAATGTTGGGAGCATTAAAACCTGAAGAATCAAAAACAGGTTTGTGTCAAGCTTACCAATTCCCAAGTGAGTGTTCATACTAGCATACCTTGCAGTTCCAGTGAGATTCTTATTTTCTCTACAAAGAAAAGGAAATGACAGTAAATTTTTGATTTGTAATTAGGAAAAGACACAAAGACTGGTAACATTTTGATTCAATTATCTCACCTATAAGGAATGTGCTGGTGGGTAGTATTATCTCGGTATTTCTTAGCAAGACCAAAGTCGATGATGTATACCTTTAAAAATATGAAAAAGAAGTCATTCAGATATACTCAAAAGTAAAATGAAAGAAAAAAAAAACGAAGATAGAGGTGAAGGAAACCTGGTTTGCGCGCCTCCCTAAACCCATAAGAAAATTGTCTGGCTTAAGATCTCGGTGAAGGAAAGATTTTGAATGGAAAAGCTCAACACGGTTTATCTGTACGTAAAGGAAGGAAACAAAGTCAATCAGTATAACTAATCTAAGGAAAAAGAGCCACATATAAAGACAACAGTGATCTACCATTTGATCTGCGAGCATGAGTACTGACTTCAAGGAAAGTTTCCTGCTACAGAAATTGAACAAGTCTTCAAGACTAGGCCCAAGTAAATCCATCACCAAAACATTGTAGTCACCCTCAACACCAAACCACTTCACATTTGGTACACCAGCTGCCATAAACAACGGTTAAATAGAGATTAAGGACATGTTTAAGAAAATAGCAAATAGAATGATAGAACAAAGAACTATTAGATTGTTAATCAGAAATGAAACTTACTTCCTCCCTGTAGAATTCTGTATAACTTCGATTCATAGAGCAGCTGTGGATGTTTCGTCTTCACATTTTCCTGGAAAAAAAGAAGAAGAGAGAACCCTCAGTAGCAGTAACAAAACCAACCTGGCAATAAAAAAACATACTGAATTGATATACATTATCCATAAGACAGAAGCTTAGAGAAATAATTGAAGAATAGACTTTTGTACCAAAGTATCCTATATGTTGATCTAATTCAAGTAGCTCATTAAATGATTTTAAGCTCTAACCAATTTCCGAATCTAACTCCAGAAGTCAATCCGTCATTCCTTTTTATAGTAAACAAACTACATTGTCTCTATGTACAAATTAAAATCTCCAGATGATGCTAGCAAGTAAAAAAAAAGAACAAAGTTTGCAACAAGACTCACCAGCTTGATTGCAACTTCTTCATTCGTTTGAATATGAGTACCTAAAGAGACGACATTACAAGGACAAAGTTAGCAATTTCAAACCCAGAGAAAAACTACTCAACAACATTGCTAAAGAGTAAAAACAAATCCAATTGAAGAAAAAGACGAACCAAGATAGATCTCTCCAAATGAACCACTTCCGATCTTCCGACCAAGACGATATTTGTTTCCCACACGAGGCTCCATTGATAATCACCAAACTCAGATTACAAAACCCTAAACTATAATAATCCCTCAACCTTCAACGCCGGCTCTAAAGGAGAAAACTTTAAATTCTCTTTCCAAAAAAAAAAAAACAAATTTGTACCCTTTAATCAACCGGAATCAGCAGCTCCAACCCACAAAAACAATTTTTTTTTAAAAGATCCAAATTCTGCAGAATTAGGGCTGAAACAAGGACGAACAGGGAAAGCCAATAGTCATCATCTTCATTCTTCCAACTTCTTCTTCTTCTTCACGATCTGGAACAAAGATTCGTAATCGAAGAATAATGTGGACTCTCTTCTTGCTTTACCTCTCTCTTCTCTCTCTCTCTTCACGCGAATTGAAAAAAACGAGGATAAAAAGGGAGGAAGAGAATGAAGATGTTTCTCAAAGTTTGAGTCTTTTCCTTTTCTTTCTTCTCTCCTCTCTTTTCCTTTTCTTTTTCTCTTTCCTTCCAGGTAAATTATTATTCCCTTCAGCTTTTGCACGGTTCCATATATCCCGGTTAGGTAAACCGAAAAAACCGGTTGACAATTATCCTCCATTAATCACAAATCTATAAATCATTTCAAATTTTCAAACGAATACGTTATGAAAAACCAATATATCATTCACTAATTACTTTAACTAAAGGATTAATTAACGGCTATCACCATTGTCATATCATCCATAACGGTTCCGGTTCTTGATTTTCCGGTTTAGTTTCGTATTCGAAACTTACTAGTACTACACGCGTAGAGTTGAAATATTTAAAAAATTAGAAAATAAAAAAAATTGAGAATTAATTTGGGATTGGCTAAGAGTAAGAAATGGGTCACCAAGCGTGAGAGCTACGCGTGCCGTTGGTGAGCGGTAAAGATCGTTTGTCACGTGATTTCCAAATACTCTCAAATACTTTATAGTTAAAACGTAATCCGCACGTGACTATTTTTTGTTTCTCCGTATTTTGACTTTTACTCGGCGCTACTAAATTCTAATCATACGTCGTACGAGGAGATTTTATAAAAATAGTCAATACTTTGGTCGGTCGTAATAAATAACTGTTCTCCACGACGAAGTAGTCATTATACTTGTTACACATTATTCTGAAGAAAACAATGATATCGATGTGAAAAAGTGTTACAAAGTAAATCAAAGGTTATAGAAACCTCCAAAAAATATACATGTAAAATTAAACTTTAAATGAGTACAAGTTGTACTCTAATTAAAGAATCACCCAATATTAGGTGAATACAAAAAAAATAACCAAAAAGGAATATTAGAAAAACTGATTAAACTAGGAAGAAAAAAATATGAGAAAATTAGTTCCTGGGGCTTGGAAGACCCATGCAAGATAGTGTAGGAGAGACACGAATCTTTGGACTGGGTCTTGGCGAAGGTATTGGGCCATATAATCCAGTTGTTCCGTTGACCACACGAGGAGACAAGTTGACTTGTTCAAGCGCTCGAGTCTGCAGATCCATTGGGTAGTCACGCACACACCCGATCCTAGGACCATTTCCAGTACTCCACTTACACGAAAATCGTTTCTTTTCATCTGAGCCGTCCGATTTCTTCGTCGTCAGCACCTTCGACGGCTTTGTGCTCCCGTCTTTTGTGACCATATAATTATCGTCGTCAATCGCGTTCATCTAGAAAAATAATTAATTAGTTAAAACATTTTATAGCAAAGTTTTAATTATTTTGCGTAGTTAGAAAACTTTAATTAGCATAATTACCTTGACATTAGTGAGATCCACGTTGTTTTCTCTCAAGAAACCGATGAATTCTCTGAAATTCTCCTCCGTCGGTAGATAATGACCACTGTACGGCCACACAGCTTTTACAACTCCGTCTTTTGAAACAATTCTACCGGCGGCGGTAATGGCAGCGCCGGAGAGAAAACTCGAGTGTTGAAACCGACCTTTATGTTTCTGACCAATGTAAAGTCTTCTTGTCGTGCTCAACACGAAGATCCATTTAGTTCCTTCGATTGTCTCCACGAAGTTCTTGGTTTGTCTGTTGACTAGTTTCCCATTTTCAACCACCACTTCGTAAGCTTGTCTCTCTTTCTGTTAAAACCAAAAGTTAAAATCGATTCTTGTAATTCATTAACCGGAAACTTAACTAACCAAATAAGAAGAGGAGGGTTTACATACCGGACCAAGGTAAGTGATGCATTGGCGCTGAAGAAGTATTCTTGAACATTTGGAGAGATGTACTTCTTTGCCATCTCCAATGTCTAACCTTTAGTATCATTCAAAAGGTTTGCTATCAAATCAGCTCTGTTTTAATTCTTTTAAATAAATTATAAAAAAAAATTGACCAAAGTTTCATGTTAAATTTACCAGAAGAAGAAAGGCTGAGTACTCTCACTTGCTGACCAAACATCATAATACAAGTGTAAATTGTGCCCGTACCTATGTCTTGGATCAATCTGTACCCAAAAGAATAAATACTATTTATACACCAAAGTAATAATATGTCAATATCAAAGTAAATTAAAGAAAAAGCCGAAACTTACGGCTTCTAACCAATGTCGTAATGCTAATTTTTGTGCTTTATCATCTTTCAACAATCCTTTTCCCACCTATATATGAACACACCAAAGAACAAAATAATTCATGATAATGTACGACATTAATTAATTAATTAGTATCCTAATTAAAATTATTAAATTACCTTGGCTGCTTTTGTTCCAGCTCTTGCCCACCTAGATACAGCCGACTCCGGTTTCTCACTGGTTCTGTTCGGTTCTGACGCTGCCAATTCCAATTCTTTCCACCTAAACCAAACACACACATGGGGTTAAATCTACTAAATTGAAAGTAACGGGGTCATTTCATAAATAATATAGAACTCAACGTACCATAACTCTTCAACAACCACTGCACAGTCAGCAAGGTTTCTACGTGTCCGGTAACTCTTGTAAACCTTTTGTAACGTAACGGCGGCGGCGTCGAGCTCCGTCGAAGGCCTAGGAGACCAAAACGGCGTCGGTGCGGGTAAACTCAACGCCGTTAAATTCCCCATTTTTCCTCTGTTCCTTCGCTTCGGAGACGATCCTCTTTCGTCGTCGTCTTCTACGTGATCCACTTGGACTAGGCTCGTGAACGAGAGACTCCTCTCAAGAATCATGTTATCTGGCTTAGGACCTTTCAAGTTTATACCTCTTCTCGTTTTGACCCCGAAGTTTTCTTCTTTGTCACTGTTCCCCTGATTAACCAAATCTTTGAACGATAAAGTCTTATCAAGATACATGTTTACTGGGTTATTATTACGAATTCTCGGTGTTTCACACTGTTTTGAGTCTTTCTTGAAACTGTTGTCTCGTTGTAAGTATCCCAAAGACAAAGCCATTATATAAAAGCTACCTGTAAAAATTTTGTAATGACTCAGACAAAAGATGTAGAAATGAGAAATGGATTTACGACTGAAATCCAAAGATTGAGGAAGCTACTTACAGTGTTAACAATCTGAAGAAGTTACGTCGAATGTGTTTTTTTGTTAAAAACAGAGACACCACTTATCAAAGACAAAAAAGAAGAACTCTGTGTTCTGATTATATCTCTTCTTTGCACATCTGTCGTCTATATATATTAATGGCTATATGATGTAATTATTAGTTTAAATTTGTTTTTGGGGTGAGAACAAAATTTGGGATTGGACCTTAGGACACGCAGTGAAGATTATTCTACGAGTCTTTGATTCAAAGTTTTTACGTTTTCCTCGGACATAAAATCCCATTAAAAAAAAAAAAAAATCAAACCACACGAGCTCTTGATTTAGATTTATTTGTTAATGGTTTGTATACATACTAGCGTGTAGGGAAACTTTGAACACGTCGTCTCGTAGACTCGTAGTGATGATAACACTGTTTAGGAGTTGCAAACACATTAATACTCACTTTACTTAACATTGCATATATGTATGTGAATGTGATCGATCGTGTTTGATAAACATACGCACGGCGTTACGCACGGAACGTGTGGGGACGTCTTTGAATGCGTCGTCGGATTTTTTATTTTTTGTTGTTAACTTGTTATACAATTCCCAACTTATATGGATTTCTATATTTTTCTTCTACCTCATTCTTTTTTCTTTCTTTTTTTCTTGCGGTCAACGGATTTGTTCTGTTGTCTACCTACTTAAGGATAAAACAGTTATTAAATATTCTTGATTTGTGTGCTTTTTTGCTATTGAAACAAACCAATCCATCAAAGCTATAAGATGAACAACAAAATTATGGTTAAGTTATTTCCACACCTAAGTAGATAATTGTGAATTCAAATCATTATGTTGAATTATTCAGCTATAGCTGTTTATATTTGAAGATTAAACTTGTAATTTTATTTAGCTAGACAAATAAAGAATGATTTTTAATCAAAGATGCAACTGTTGTTTACATTTTTTGACGGTAACACAAAAGTATATTGATATATGTCCTATATCAATAATTTCGTCTTTGGTTGGACTAATTAAATATAAGACGGTTAAACCTTTAAAATTATAAACCATTGTAAAAGAAATCATAGCTTGGTTAAAGAGTTTTACACACAAGTCAAATCAAATCTAAAACATTCGAGTTTGGTGAGTGTGGGTCACTAAACTTTAAATAATGTATATGTTTACGATTATGATAGTGCAAAAGTTAAAATGATTAAGAAAAGTTGTGGTTAAATCGATTTTCAGTGGTCCAAACATCTTTAGACCATCTCCAAAGGGAGATGTTTAATAAAAATTATGGAGGTGATAAAGATTTTGGGTGATTAAAAATAAATCAATAAATGGTTTAATGTTTAGGAGCGATGCTAAATTAACAAGTTTAAGGGCCACTCCTTAAAGCCACGTGTCACGTTATTATTGGTTTATAATTGTAAAGAAGGAAAAAGAAAAAAAAAGGTTTTGCATTCTTGGTCTGGGAAGAGAAACAGAGACAAACAAAGCCATTCAATATATTTTGATTTCGTCAGACAAACATCATATCCCTCGTAACAAAATACAGAGATAACAAAAACGATTAGTGTTCATACACCGTATCCCTCGTCACAGATATAATAAAACACCAAAGAAGCTAGAAACAGAAGCTTTGTGATAATGCAAATGAAAAGAGACGATTCCCAAATTCCAATAGCCAACTTGAAGAAAACACTTTATTAGAGTTCACCATTGGAAGAAGAAAAATCAATTATTTTTTAAGAGTTCAACAAATTCAAATTAATCATTAAATTTAATAAAAATTTGTTTAACACTTCAAAATAGGCATCTCCCTTTGGAGATGCTCTTATAAATAAGAATTCACTACTATGATTTTTTATTTTTTTATTTTCTTTTTGAACACCTCACTACTATGATTTAATAAAACAAATATTATGATTTATGACCGTCAAAGAAAGCAACCAAATATATATATAAGTATGCATTTGATAAAGACATATTAAAAGAGCACCAAAACCGGTTCAGGGTCGTGAGATGGTGTAAATGCAGAGTCAACCAATTGCGGTCAGGTCAAGTCCTTTTACTTTTGTGTTTTTCTCAAAAGAGTTTCATCTTCTTCTTCTTGTTATATATCTACTGAAATTGTACAGCAACGTACGCGTTAGTTTAAAAGTTGTTGGTCTCATTTATCTATCTCACTTGGTCACCTTTTACACGACACAAAAAGAACACAATTGTGTGATATATTCTACAAAGTCTACAACCATTACGCATACAAAAATAATCCTTGTCTTCTCTAATAATTTTCATATGACGTACACTTTAAAATATTTAATTGTCATGCTAATACGGCAGCCCTAAAAATTGCTTTGGGTTAAGAAAAAATCATATGAAAAACTGTTGGACCAAAAAATAATGATTCCGTATCATTTGTATTCATGGCCGGTCTTCGAATGCTTCCACATAAAAATGAAAAAATATGTCTTCACTATACAATGTTTGAACCTTGAGTTTTAGAGAGCAATTCATTGGAAAGACAATAACGATTAGTACTAAAGCTACATACACTTGGTTAATATGGTAGTGTTTCTTTCATAAGTTGTAACCAAGACGTTTGAATATATGAATCCAGGAGTATTGGATTAAGTCCTTCAAGATCAGCATCCAATTTTGATAACATTTGTCAAAGCTTTCTAAAGAGTAAAACAGAGTGAAAATGCGGGTTCGAACCCGTAAAACAATGATAACTTTTTTTTTAACAATCGCAATACTCTTTAAACAACGTATATATAAGAGACTAGAGAGTTATAGAGAATTAATTGATTATATTAAAATAATTATCTAATTTCATTATCGGCACTGAGAAGACTCTACTCGAAGCGTACCAAAAGGGTTTAGGTATAGCTTTATGCCAGCCCTATTTACCAAGTAAAACACCATCCCCAAGTAATGGATTGTAACTTATAACATTGGTCTGGTCAACAAATAAGACTATAATTACGTGGATCTAGACTTGAATATTCTGGTTTACTTTCTTTTTATCTGTCGTTTTAGTTCTTAAAGTTTTCGAATGGGTGAAAGATACTAGTTAACTACATTACAAAATGCGTGATCGTGAAGTCTAGATTATATATATATTGAAAACACTAGCTAGCCACATTTTAGATATCGATTTCATATTTGTATGAGATATTTTACTAATATAATATGACCATTCATTCTTCTCTTTTGTCCACGAGCCGGTCACATTTCTCAATGTCGGTTTCATATTATATGAGTAAATTATAGTAAACGATATAATATCATTCTTCTATTTTGTCTCGGCTTCACCTAAGACCAATAGGTCAAAGTTTGAAACTGGATGTCTAAAAACTGCACAACTTTAGAGCTAGCGACGTAGAGTGTAAATTAATTACGTCGGATAACTGCAAGGTCACGAAACCGTCGAAACATTTTATTTTTGTGAGAGTTTTGGAATTTTTGATATACAATTTTATACCATTTTCTTATTCACGAAACACGTTACGAATACATTTGCATTTTAATGTATAACCTCCAATTAGAATTTTCAACCACAATGACTACTTTCAAACAAGTTACACACCATAAAATAACTATCTATATTTCGCTAGAGCATGTATGATGATTCAATCAAAATACCTAATTGCGCACTCTACCTCCAATAACTAATTACGAATTGTGTTCTATAGTTCTTAAACATATATATATATATATATATATATATATTAAATATATAAGAAATGTCACTCAAATTATTATCAGTTCATTAACTATATGTGAAAATTGATTCTCTCAAGTTAAGAAAAAAAAAAAAAAAACTATCCAACAAAAAATAAATTTTGGCAAGGAAAATTACAAACAAAACGTGAATCAAACGTAAAACTCATTGGGCCATGATACTTGCATTAAAAGGCCTATGAGAAAATAGTGATGTGGCATACCATGAATTTAGAGTATTTTTTTGACAAAAAAAAAGGTGAGATTTGTTTCTTCACTTTTTTTTCTTTGTATTAGATTATATTGTTATTAACACAATCCTAATTAATAAATGAATAACACTAAAATTTAATAGCATTCTAAAACTAATATATAAATTGAATAACATTAGATATTGAAAGAATCTAAAGTCTTTTAAACTGAATAACCCTCTTAAGAAAAGAGTACATAAGACAGGATTATACCAACATTATTGGGAGTATCTTAGGTTAATTTTGTTTTAAATTAAATACAAAAGCTAAGAATCAATATTAAGAGACAAAACTAACTTTTCTTAAAATGTTCTTACAGATTCAATATTAAATTAATGCTAAGAGCCAATATTAACATAATATACTCCCAATAATGTTGCTCTAAGTGGCTTTAATTAGCATATATACATTAATGCTAATCCAGACTTATTACAGATGTTTTCAAATTAGACCAGTTCTTCTATGTTGTTGCTCGTGTAAATCATGAATTTTTTCCCACAAATTTTACTAACGATATAAACCCTACAAATCCTTAGATTTCATTGAGTTCTCTCAATTTTCTCATGGAGGGTCAAAGCAAGAAGAAGATGATCGGTGTCAAGCATACAAGCCCATTCTTAACCGAACCCTTAAACAACTTTCAGGTTCCTCACTTCAGTTGTGCAACCACTTTTATTTTACCTGTGAATCTTGTTAAGAACCGTAGCTAATAATTAATCTCAAATTAAGTGGACATTATTATAAATCCCCTATCGAATGATTCTTCATGAATTAATTTTTAATTACTAGCTAGTCTCATAATTTTATGATCAAATATTGATTGTGAGTAGATTTGATCTTAAATGGATTTTGTTATTAATTTTCCTTGTAATTAATTATAATCTTCATGGTCCAACATAGTATGATGAGCTGTTGAAATTAGAGCGAGAATGTGATGAGCTGAAGAAATTAAACAAGGAGTTGAAGGAGAAGATGATTATCTATGTAAGTGTGTATAGTCTTCGGTCTTTCCTTGTACTCTATATATGTTCTAAGTTTTATAGTATAACAGATGACGGGACTGACCATATATAATATTCATAAATGTTTCTCTAAAATAATATGTTATTCTGTCAATGAGCTTTGTCTCTTCTGTGAAACCTCAAAACAAGAAGATTGTCTTGCGTATATGATGTATGTTTCTGTCTTCCTGTAAACTTTTTTTCTGTATTTGCAGATTGATAAAATTCTAGACCCAGGGGAAAATCTGGAACTCCTAATAAAGAAGTGCCACGATTTGAGCATGGAAACGCAGGTAACATTCTATACCACCACACATACTAGCAACATAAATTTCTAGTGTTGTAGATTGATCGATATTATTTTCACCTTGTCTCAGTCTCTGAGCATAGTTTGTAAACTCGATAGAAATGATAGAACATGAACTAGAGCTTGGACGTGTTGTCAATATATATAAAGTAACTTGTGCATGTTTTAATGTTATGTTGGGTTCACGAGAAACTGAACTTTTGGTGTGCTTTTTTTTCTTTCTGCGTGGACATATGTTTTACAAGCGAGGAAAGAAGACAAACTCATGCTGTACTATCTTGTGAGATGCAACGAATTCATGATGTACACCAATCTGAATATATGCTTATGCTTCGATATATCAATCAAGTTTCTATTATTATTAATAATATAATGCTAATATATAATCTAAGAGATATTCAGATTAATAATAAAAGTAATAAAGAATGATTCAAAAAAGTGTTACTTCCACTGTTATTACATTTTGTGACGGTAAAAAATAACTATCTAATTCGCTAGGGTATGTAATGATGATTCAATCGCTAATTACACTCTACCTCCAAGAACTCAGTAGTTTACAAATTTCGTTTTATAGTTCTTAAACATATATGTTTTATTAAAATGATAAGAAATGTCACTCAACTATTAATATAGTTAATAATCGACTTTATAGAAATCGACTATCTTCACTCAGGAATTATAAAAAAAAAAAAAAAAAAAAAAGAAAGATCATAAATCATTAAATTGGCAAGGGAAAAAAAACCCAACAATGGATCAAACATACATCGGGCCATGATACATAGCTTGAAAAGGCCCATGAGAAAATAGTGACGTGGCGGTCTAACTAAACTAAGAAATAAAGAAGGCATAAGATAGGATTAGTGACTTTAATTAGCATAAACACATAAAAGTGTGGGACCCAAGATAATACTAATCCAGTCTGGCTTATTACAGATGTTTCAAATGAAGACCAATTCCGATGTTGTTTGCCTTGTGTAGTAAAAATCATGCCTTTTTATTTGTTTTTCCCCAATTTCGAGTCCTGAGATAAAAACCCTACAAACCCCTAGGTTTCATCGATTTCTCTTCATTCTCTCTTAACCATCGTCCCAAGCAAGGAGAAGATGACTGGTGTCAACACAGTTTCTGGTATAATTCTTCTCTCAGGTTTTCTTTATTACGGTGATACGATTGTTCTTGTCCTTTTAAGTTGATTTTATTTATTTACTCTTTATCGAATAATTGTGATGCGATGAAATCGTGCTCTTGATTGATTTTGTGGTTAGCGTTTCTGATTCTGAGCTGATGAATAATCCCAGATTTTTTTTAAAATTTTTTTCTGGGGTTTAATGGTGATTTATATCGATCATTTTAGGATTAATTCAAATCATTGTTTTCCCCTTGTGTGGTTTATTGGGTTGGATGAAATCTTTACATGTATGAATCTAGATTTCTTGGAAATATCTATCGGTTTGTGTTGAGATTATTAGAAGCGAATTTGAATATTTCTGAGGTTTACTGGCTATTTATTGAGCTTAATCGACGAGTATCCATCCTCTACGTTATTAGCGATGCTTTGTGTTTTATGTTCTGGGAATATTTGATTGGATGTGTTTTGTATAATGTTGAACAACACAATGTGGATTCGTTTTGTCTGTCCATTGTTATATGATTTTTTTTGTGTGTGTGTGTGTGTTTTAGGTGATGAAGATCGTTCGGACAAGAAGATTCCTGCTGAGATTGATGAGAACAAAGTGAAAGCGCCAAACATGTTCGAACGAGCAAAAGAGGAGTTTGATGCTGTTATTGGAGCTATTCATCAACGCAAGGGTTCGAGGTTTGTTGTTTTAAAGCTATTCTCATCATTTTCATTATCAAGCAATGCTTATGTTAGTGTGTAAAGGAGTTTGCTTATGCGTTATACGTTCTGTTTCAGGGAGGAATCTGACAAAACGGAGTTCAGATCAGAGAAACCAGGTTCAGTTTTTCTCTCTCATCATTGCAAATCATGTGAAGTATGTTTCGGATAGCAAACTCTTTGCTTGTTAGTCTCTAGATTTACTGGGTTTTGGTTTCTACCCAATTGATTGGGGTAACAGAACATGAACACTACAGAGTGGAACTTGTGTGATCATTTCTTGATTTTGTTGTGTTGTGATTGGCTCAAATCTTGTTTCACATGGTTGACAGAAGATGGAAAGAAAAAACCAAACATGATCAAAAAGGCGAGGGAAGAACTCAGATCGCTGTTCCAGAAGGAGAAACCACATCACCATCATCACCATCATCACAAAGAAACTCATGGAACGAGTGATGATATCAATGAGAACACTCCTGTGGATGAAGTGAAGGCTCCTAATGTTTTCGAGAGAGCCAAGGAAGAGATCGAGGCCGTCATTGAAACTATCCATCCCAAGAAAAATGAGGCAGAGGGTTCTGATTCACCTAAGTCTTGTGATTCACATAAGACTTCTCGGTCTGTCTCACCGGAGAAGGAGAGAGCTGGATTCGGATGCTCTATTGGAAAGGGGCTGGAAAAGATTTGTTCTCCTTGGGCTGATGATAAAAAAGATTGAACTATTCATATTTGATTGACATGATTATGAACTTGTTTTTTCTAGTTGTGGCAATAGACTTGGTTTTTAAGTTTGAGTGAATTTGTTGATTATTAGGTACTAAATTGTTGTTACCTTAACAGACTTTGCTTGTTCTTTTCATATTTCAAAAACTATAGTGTCCTCCCTATGTATATAATTCTAAAATTCGGTTAGCTTGTTACATGCAACTATTAAATCTTGAGGCACATTTTCATATTTCAAAACAAAGTTTCATGGGCCATGTAGTAGCTAGTAGTAGTAGACAATTTGAACAGTGTTTGGTTGCTTCCAGTCACACCCATTGTCTTTACTCAGATTGATCAGCACATTGTCTGTACCCATTCGAAATTCACAATCATTGTCAAATCCAGGGATTGCTCAATGAATGACCTTTAAGCTTAGTCTCTTCAGTTTGTTAGGTTTCAGTGTTTAAATATTTTAATCAATTACTTCTATCACAAGTTCCTTTGCAATTCTTAAACCATAAGGAAAAGTCTCAGCCAGGTTATAATAACACTCCTAATACGAATAAAAAACAAAGTCAAAATAAAAGAAAAAGTGAAAAACACAAATCCTTATCGAACTTAAAAGACTCTTAAAGTGGGATCAATGCGCTGCATTAGTTTCTCTCTTAGTCTCTTTCATTGATTAGTCGCTTCTAGGGTAGCCATGTATCGTAGGATACTCTATCACAAAAAACTCTGATCCTTGACCGTTTCTGATCCGACGATGTACGTAACCGAAGCCACCTTTTCCCCATCCTTCACCATGCGAATTTTGGATGCTCCAGTAAGGATTATTGTCGGAATCGAATCCATACCCAACTATAAGGACTTGGTGGAAAGATCGATCCACAGATCCAACTGGTGATCGGTAAATTATCTATAAATTTAGGAAACAGTTACTCATGCATCTACCAAAAGGATATTAAATAAACGTATCTTAGTAGACTTTCAAGTTATAGAAACTTACGGATCCAATACTACTAAACTCCGCTCCAGGATTCATCAATATCCCAATCACGGGTTGTTGTCTCACGATTGCGCGAAGCTCAGCATCATTAACATCCGTGAGATATGCAAATCATCTACCTTAAGAGTATTGATTTAGAGGTATATGTATATTTGAATAAGATTTATCATATAAAAATTTAAAAACCAAAAACTAACTAAATTAGATAATATACTTACGTTTTGTACAAAATGCGCATGTATGATTTTCTGATTTAATCATAATTTCTTAAGAGCCAAAGCAAAATACATCGCACTCAACAAAAATAATTCTTATATGTAAGAGAAATAAACTTATGTCAAAACTTTTTGTAAAATTGATTTTAGTTGTTAGTTTCCGATAAAAAGTTCTTACATCCAAAACTTTCATTTATATTCAAAAATGTTAATAAATGAAAGTTTTAAAACTCATCATACTTCAAAATATAACCAAAACATAAAGTTTTTAAATTTAGTTAAAATATAACCAAACCATATATATATATATATATATATATAGATCGCTCTGAAGTTTCTCTGATACGGTTGAAGTTGATTGTAGATATACCGCCACTTGCATAATCCAACTACTAAAAAGACTTTGTCTATGATTATGTATGTATCTAATTTTGCTCATTCATAGCTTCCAACTTTTACATTTCTTCTTCAACTCATCCATCTGTAAGGAAAAAAAAGAAAAATACATAAACAGTTTAGCAATGAAATATCATCTTCTTAGCCCTTAAAACGGAAATTTTGGTGTTGGCAGTGAAGTCAATTTGATTTGGCCTAAATAGCTCCATTCCTACTTATATATATTCTTATTTGTAGTGGAATCCTTATTTTAAATTCTAATCATATTATCAAATCCTGAGAAGCCTAGTCTACTACATTTAATCCAAATTTTCCCTAACATATGACAATTACGAATCGATTTGCGCTGAAGGCCATGGGCCGTTCTTATCGTGTCTGTCCGGCCTTTTATGGACTATAAAGTCCGAAAAGTTCACTTTTAATTTTTTTTTTTTGCTAAGTAGGTAAATATCATATAGATGAAAGAGAGTTAGATTTTACAAACATGTAACCTAAAGCTTGGTTCCTTGGCAAAAATTAGGATAAAAAACAAGGAAGCAAAGATGAGAATAGCAAAGCTAGTAGATCAGATCCAGAAAGCCATCAAGTTTTTAAACTTTTTACGATGCCTTCTAGCAGTGACGGTGTTGATGATCTCACGGTCCAGATTCTTGAAGATGATGGCCGGGGGAATGACTTGTTTGTTGTGGAGAAGATTATTCCGTTGCTTCCAAATACATAGATTGAGGCCTGAGCAACGATTTTCCTAAGCAGGGAATCTTAATTCGCATAGTTCACTTTTAATTTCACGTGCGAATTTTCATTAATTAAGATATTAAAAAATTGTTATGCGTATTTTACTATTTTTACGGTCAGTATAAACTACGAAATATCCTTATTACACGTTACGTATAAATTAAATTTTCGTGTCTTTTTATGGATGTGGTCTTCCACAGGCGATTGTCTTAGTTCCTCGCTGAGAAGCTGAATTTAGGGTTCCGATCATGGCCAATACTGTGTTGACGAAGGAGTATTTGCACATTCCGAAGAAGCCAAGGTTGGAAAAATGCTCAGAAGAATCGAATCCCGCCTCCAAACGCCGAGAACTCCGGAAGTACGACCCGTACGACGATGAATACGTACGACAGTACATCTTATACTACTACCAGTTCCATAAGAGCGAGGTAATATATATATATCTCTTAAATTCTCCCTTGAAATCCAAGATGAGGTATATACCCAGCTTATAGCTCACTCTTTTTGTTTGTGTGGGGTTTAGGGTTTCGTGATTGATTGGGATAAATTGGACTATGAGTTCGAAACCAGGCCTATCATGGACCCATATCGTATTGCTGCGTACAGTACCAATGATGAAGTGATCCGTGACGTGGCTTGCCGTGCTATTACCCAACACAATGTTGATACGGTCAGTGGTTTGTCGATATAATGCAATGTTTGTCATGTTTTTTTTTTTTCTTTTTCTTACTCGCTCACAAATGTTTTATACTTGCAGGGGAGTCGGATTGAGTTCGTGGATCACGTTTCGGCAAGTTACAGGTGGTGTGCTGGTATTTTGTATTGGGTGACGTTTTGGGCTCGGGATTTGGCATCATCCAATCTCGAGCCTAGACTTTATCAAACTAATGTTCGCCTCTGTGGACCAACCTTCTGTGAGATTTATATCTTCAGGCTCAAACCAACTGTTGAAGGTATTAATGTTTGATTGCTCTTCTGATTTGGCTTGATGGTTAACAACTTTGGAGTAGTTGATATTTGCCTTTAGTTGATGATGGACTTTTCAGGAATACTTCTTTGGCTTATGGTTTTGTTCGGAATATTTGGTGTGCTTGAACATTCTCAAAATGCCTTTACTTGAGAATGTAAGCGATTGTGTTTTGGATGTAAACTAGTGTGTGGTTATGATACAGAGATTGCTGCAGTTCAAGTGGATCCTCCTGCTCCATTGTATGATGATGATCCAGGTGAATCTTTTTGCTGTTCTCTTTGTTTTGATATGTTTTCCGAACCAAGTGGCTGGCTTTAATTTGTTTCAGATGATTAGCCTCTCTTTCTTTAATGGATTATATATGTTGGTGCTTGCAGAGTTACCTACTATATTGTTCACCGTAACGGGTCCAGGATCTGGTTACATGTCCATACCCGAAGTTGCCTTCACTCGGATTCCTGCTGAAGTTGAGCCGGCCGTGTCATCACCAGAATCCTCACCGTGAAGACCAAAAGCCTCGGTTGTATTCCACCTTTCTTATTTCTCTCTTCCGAATCCTTATTAATTAGAGCTCTAGTACCTTATAGTAAATTGTTGAAATTAACTTATATTTATCATGATGAGGCCTAAATAGCTTTGTTGCTGCACTTATGTTCTTATTTGTAGTGGAATTCTCGTTTTAAATTCTAATCATATTTTCAAATCCTGATCAGAACTGAGAAGCACAGTCTACACTTAATCCAAAATTTGTCTGGTTTGATACAAAGAAAACTTGTTATAATAAGTTTTTAGAATATTATGCCACGCCAAGAATTCGACTCTTAACCAAAGTTCATATTGTCACCAAAGATAAACTTTCTGTTCGAGCAAACACTTGCAAAATATAAACGAACTGATGATATTAGTTTGTTTAGTTATATCTTATAAATAGTTTTTTTTTTCCTTTGAAATAAATAGTGGACTAGATTTTGGAGTTATCGGATTGGACACCAGTAACCACAATTTTAAAGAATGTTATCTTTTATTTTGGTGAATTATATCCCTTCATTCTTTAGTGCCATTTTCCTTGTGTGATTTGTAAGTTTGCATGTGCTGTTGCTTTTGCAACTTCATAAGGGTCAATATTACATGTACATAGAAAACATACGTGACACATACAAGATGTAATATGTAATATTCTAATATTATATTATAGCGAAATGAGACAAATGACAATTTAAAAAGTTATCATTAAGATATCCCAAAATCAAAATTTAAAAGGTATAGGGATGGGACGAAGTAGTCAGTCCAATCGAGACTACGTACGTACGTGCCTTACCTACTTGTCGATGTTCACGGTTAACAAACAATCCACGTACGGACTCTAAACTAGTAAACTATACAACATATGTTTAATTTGAGAGATTAGTTTAGAATATTTCGTAGGAAACATATTAGATGATATCATATGTGCTTATGTATATACATATATACTAAAAAAATTATTTAACGGACGATTCTAGTAGCTAGAGTAGCTAGTAGTAGCCAAGTCACTATCAAAGAAAAAATAAAATCCAATGATACATGCATTCGAACCGATCTCAATAGAGACACCGAAATCGAATCAACTCACCTAAAATGAAGATAGCTTTTTGCCAATCTAACCCATTTCGTCCACGACATAACTCAAGCCGGACCATTAATTCTTTCATATTCTTTCATCAAAGGAAAAGTCATAAATCTATGAAAATGAAACTTTCTGACTGAATCACAATAAAGTCCATATTTGTTTGTTATCCATCGTTATAGTAAATGCTGCAATGGCTACCCATGTGGGAGTAGCCAGATACATGCAAGTATGCAAATTATAACATTTATATAAAATATAAACTTTTAAGAGACGTGTATTAGTGGACCAATTTTTATATATAATAATGTATTTTCAAATAATATTTGTAAGAAAGCGAAGTCAACCGTCGTAATAAGGTCGGCGTTGCAGCTAGCATCCACGCGATATCGTCGACTCCACATTTTTGAGTAAATGTTGTCTTTTTTTTTTGGTCAAAAAATGTTGTCTTCTTTTAATTTATTTATTTCAAAGAAGAACACATAGATTTAGAAATTCAAAATTAATAAAATTAGAAACGAGTCATTGCATTTTCAAGTTAGCTCTCTACTCTACATCCATATCCAGTATCTTACACTTCTTCATTAATAAAGATAGACCAACCTCTCTTTTTTTCTTCTTCTATATTATATACATGTTCAACTTGGAGTAGTCATATTTATTTCATCAAAACTTAAAACACTATCCAAATAGCAGCTAAACTAAGCTAAATGGTTGAGATTGCTTTTCAGAAAAATATTCGAACAATTGTTAATTGATTTTACTATTTGGTATCCACTTAATTCGAATAAAAATATATAAAAACTGGTGTGTTCCACGTAACCACACGCACAATATGTGCAATTACAACGTCAATCTTGGTATAACTTTACTTCGCGTCCCCTTCATCATTAGTAATTAAAAACACAGTTGAAACAGTTAATCGAAATCTTTGTATGCAAACATGCAGTGTCTCGAGTCTCTCGACCAACACAAAAAGAAAAAAAAAAACCATTTACATAGTACAGGATTTACAAGTTACTTACAAAAGTAGCACAACTCAAGAATCACTCATTCATTTATTTTGAGACCAGACCAGGAAACCCGTAGCTAGGTCAAGCTCGAAAACAATTATACACGATAAACATGTGTGATGTTAGTTGTAAGTTGTAAGCTTTAGATTAGAAAAAACGTGTTGAAATAGTTGGTCTAAGACACTCAAAATATTTTAAAACAACAATGAAAAAAGTGGATGTCTCTCCTGTCACAATAATTTTGGAACTTTATATTGATTTCACACTAAAAGATGAGAGAGCCCTACACATATAACTTTGCGCTGGTCAAAAGAACAAGAGAGCATCTCTATTTTACTTGTTTCCAGCTCGTTTCCATTACATTCTACCCTAGCCTTTTTGCATTATTTATTTCACCGCATTTAAAGATGTTTTACGCTATCAACTGTTTATTATGCAATGACAATCAAATGAAATGATATACTAGCAACAAAATTAATACTATAGTACAGTATAAAATAAATCTGTTCCCACCTCCCGAGTCCCGACTCCCAAAAAAACAAAGATTAAAATTCTAACTGTAAAACGTATTTTCATGTGCGGTGGAAACGTTGCATTAGTGATTTTCACGAAGTCATCATCAATAACTGGTTTACTATTATTTACCCATTAATAAAAATTAGTCTGATTAATAATGAGCTGTTATTGTAAAATTATACACAAAGTGCTAAAAATATAACTTTATAAGAAATACTATGAATAGAGGAAATAAAATTTCACGTGCGTCTCATGTGAACACATTAACTCTAAATATTTCCGACGTTTCCAAATTCAAAACAAAAACCATTATAAAAGACCCAAAAAAATAACAGTCAATACTCAAGAAGTTTGCAAAATAAAGAAGAAAGAAAAACCTAAAAAAAACAAAAAATAAAATCCAAATATAAATATACTCCTTTTGCTCATTTCTCCTTCCGACAACACCAACATAAAACACAACCCCAAAAAAAATAAAAATGGAGTTACTATCGACCGTCGCGACATGGTTCACTCCGGCGACTCTTTTCCTCCTTCTCAATCTTATGATCGGCACCATCGTCGTAACGTCTCGACTCGGCTCTGGTTCATCAAAAAGACACCACCAGCAACATCACGATGGTTTCGGGTCGGGTCATGCTCCGGCTCCTTTAGCTAGAGCTCCGTCTATCATCGACCGTGTTAAGTCTATCAATTTCCATCTCTACAAGTTTCCTCATCCGGAAACTGAGATTTTCTCCGCAACGGCTCACCACGACGTGATCGGATCGGATCTTCATGTATACCCGGATCCGAATCCGCCTCCACCGTTACAACGCGCTCCTTCTCTTTTGGAGCGGGTTAAATCCATCAACATGTCTTCTTATTTCAAATACCCAGATGAAGTAATCGGGTCGGATCTTCACTCTCACTCTTATTCCCACCCGGATCGACACCTGGATCCGGCTCCGTTACAACGCGCTCCGTCTCTTCTGGATCGGGTCAAATCAATCAACATGTCCTACTTCAAATTCCAGCAGTATAACCCGGAGGAGGTGAATGATGATTATACTCATCACAATGAACCGACCCGAATCGATAATACTCCGACACGGATGGGTCGGGTTGACCCAATTGATATCTCAAAATTCAGGATTCCGGAGGAAGATCAACCAACTGGATCCGGATACAATCATCTGATCGACCCGCCCGTTTTAACTCGGGCTCCGTCTATCTTAGAAAGGGTTAAATCCATCAAGCTATCATCCTTCTACAGATCCGACCCGGAATCGGATCAGAACCCGGGTCCGGTTGTCCACGAAGAAGAGCACAAGCACGTGAGGAGCAAATCGGAGTCGAAAAAACCGGTGAAGAAGAAGAAGAAAGCAGCTTCGACGAAGATGACGAAATCGGCGAGCGAGAAATCGGGTTTCGGTTTCACCCCAAACCACGAGGAAGCGGCGGAGACGGTGGAATCAGTCGAACGGAGAAGACCAGATACGACGAGAGTCGAAAGAACAACATCGTTCGGCGACGGCGAAAACGGCGTCGACGCGAAAGCTTCGGATTTCATAAACAAATTCAAACAGCAGCTGAAACTACAGAGACTCGACTCTATTCTTAGGTACAAGGAGATGCTCAAGGCCAACTGAAATGAAATGGAAATTTACAGAACTGCCCCTGAGGTGGAGATTGTAATCCTCGCAAACCGCCGTCTCCCTCCGTCGCGGCGGTTTTGTTTGCCGCACAGAGGAGGAGGTAACACAGGAGGGAGAGTGGTTAAACGTCTGAATTACCGATAAAACCCCTGTATTGTGAGGATATTTAAGTAATTTATTTATTAGTTTGTTATGTTTATGTGGGAATTTATTATTGTTTAGTGATTATATTCATAAATAACAACAACTCATAAAGAGACAAGAAAGAACGTAGTATTAGTTTTTGCTTTAGGCTTTAGGCAAGTGTGTAATGAACTGTGGCGTTAATAATGGATCTGGGACGTTGTTTTTGTGGTAATGTTCATCATTTGATTATCCACTTGGCAATTGTCTCGACATGTTTACACTACACGTTTCCTAGTTTCTGCCCTATTTTCAGGTTTGGTTGGTTACTTGGTTTGTTGTATATTTCTGTTTTTATTCAAATTTTCAATAGTGCTTATTTATTGTGATCGTGCCATTATATTAAACTTCGTAATTTCTCAGACATGCAGTTTAATTAGAATTCTACTATTGTATATCTCAATTGTGTTTTGTTAGACATGCTTTACTCTTTTGCTGTGTAACAGATTTTGAAGATTATACATGTATACGTGAATGTTTATTAACAAAGAAAAATATTATGAGTGAAGTGGCGGATGATTCATTCGTTGTCAGAAAAATATTATAATTCATTCGTTGTCAGATTTGTGATGCGATTACATGTGATTTGAAATTCTTTATCCCTTTTTTCTTTTTAATTGTTTCGTTATTGTACGGATCACTAATTGGCTAATACTAATAGCTATTACTATTATATATATACACAAGTCAACGACTAATATCTTTCAAGAGCAATATATAATAGGACACTCTTTATTTGACCAAAATAATAAATAATAATAATAATTCGATAATTTTCTCCTTAATAATGATGTTAACGGAGCTATAACTACTTGATATTTATTAATTACTATACGCAAAGGCAACATATATATAGCATCAATATTTCCCGCATGCATAATATCAACAATATCTTTTGTAGTAACATGATAAGGTTTAGCTTAAGAACGTTAAAACATTCATTTAATACATAAGCATATAAATTCGGTTACCGTACGTAAGAAACCGAACAGGTACTGATTTGAAACTTTATTTCTGTACAACTCAAGAAACTACGAAAATTAAAAAAAAAAACAAACATTTGTGTTGTTTATATTGGAACCTAACAAGTAACAACTAAAACACTAAAACATTAAACAAACATTAGTAACAACTAAAACAAGTAACAAGTAACAACGCCAAAAAAAAAAAAAAAAAAAAAAAACGCAATATAATGTTACCAATCAGTAGGAAAAATAATAATATAGATTACGTGTCCATAAATTCTTTAGTAGAAGATATTTCTGAAAATCTCATAGTAGCTAGTCATATACACTGTTCCTTTGCTATACGTTATTGTAATTTTCATTGACAATAAATGGGATAGACTCGGAATTTGATTCAACAAATCAAAAACTTGTAAGATAAGGCTTACGTTGTAATTAGCTTGTTGTAACCCATCCAACCATTCTTGGCCACGAAACTAAGACTTGGAATCTTATACTCGTGGCTCGAAAAAGACTTTTTTCTGTTAATTAGTCATTCCTGATTTATATAGTATTAATCTTCATCTCAATCATTACAAATCATCCCTATCTCTTTAGTTATACTATTCTTTTGTTTATCAAACACAATTTCAAACTTTCAATTTCTCATCCCATGAGCTTAAAGATATTTATATCTCCACTTTCAATTCCAGTTTTGCAGCAAAGGTATGAATTACTTTGACAGTTGAACAGACATATCAGTGTCTGGGTGGTGTAGTCGGTTATCACGCTAGTCTCACACACTAGAGGTCCCCGGTTCGAACCCGGGCTCAGACATCTTTTTTGTTTTTTCTTCAACTACGTTTTTCGCATCACCCCATTCATTAAAATTTCACTGGCCCGTCAGTAAAAGGCCTAACTAAATAACATAGAGAGTTAGAGAAACCTAGGCCTAGCCCATTTAACGTACACACGTGTACACTTCGAAGCCTTCCCCATACTGGTAGACATACTAGTGGGCACGTTGGAGGCTTCCCCATCCCATAAAATGATAGTCGGATTCTTATTATTATGCAGAACCATAGCTGCTGAATATAGATTATTTCATTTTTAGTATATACTTCATGTCTCATCTTTCTTTGGTTGTTAAGTTTGTAATAGGATGATGATACATGTAGTATATGTATGTTTTCTATATTATTTTCACAAAAAAAAAAAAAAAAATCATGGTTTTTTTCTTAAACTGCATTTCTTTGGTACTACTTATAATAAGAAATAATGAAAGGTACATGTTTGGACAAACCGTACCGGAATAAACCAAAATTGGTTTAAAAAAAGTATAAGGTATATCCCGGTTCTCTAAGCAGTAAGCACGTTAGATATTGTGGGGCTACACATTGGAAAACTAAGAAGATTAGATATTCATATAGATTCGATCGGACGTTCATAGGCCGGATCACGTACACTCTCCCCACTTGACTTAGACTCATCTTATTAAGTTTACATCCAAAAAAGATTTATACATCACAAAATCTATATCCCTTCTCATGAAATTTCTTGTTTGACTAAACAAACCAAACCATATCACAGCTGAAACATCAATGTCCGAATAAATTTCATGTATCAAATGGATCTTTTATCCCCATTCCAAGAAGTTGACACCAAAATAGAAAAGAAAAAGGTATTCCACTCCTCACAAAAAATTTAGTTATTTTTATTAAAAATTATAATTATTTTCTTGTATTACGAAAGAAACACAATTATAGATCGTAAATTTCAACTATACTATTTATTAACCATAAGGTATTTTGTTGAGTTGTAGAATAATATACTCTCGAATCTTCTATTTTACCCGATGTTTTTTTTTTTTGTACCCGATGTTTGCATGGCACATTGATCATAGATTTTAGGTTTATACATGTTTTATATAACGTTTCATGATTCTGGTTCGAGTGGTCGTGGTTTTTGAAGTAGTTTTTAGCTTTAATTTTTGTATAAAACTATTTTGTAGTCTTCGTTGGCTTCTTAAACGTGTAAAAATGGAAATAACTTGATGATCAAAAGTAGATATACTTATCAAACGAACTACTACAAATTATACATGTTTTTTACCTTTTTTTTTTGGGTTTTATTCGTTTTTAAGTTGCACAGTCCGACAAGACTAATTTTTACGCTCTTAAAACTTAAGTCTTCAATAATTTTTGTACCTTATGTTCATTGATGGCATATGTCTCAATTTGACGATATAACCAAATCTTTTTAACAGACTGGATCTTTCAAAGTTTAGAATAACAGCACTATTTTCACAAGTTTCAAGATTGGACTTTCATTGTTTCTTACGAAAGAAGTTTATGAAAAAGTTTATCGTACCAAATCAATCACGCTCGTCAAAAGTGAGAAAATTACAAGAGAGAGACATGAATAATGGCTCGTCAAAATCATGAGAGAATCCAAGTAATTTTTTCTTCTTCATAGAAAAGAGCTGTGAGGAAATTTCCAAGATTTTGGACCCACGTCCAAAGATTCCTTTATAAACCATATTTTTCTTCAAAAAAATCTTACCTGTTTTTATCTCTAAGACACTTTGATTTGGTCGAAGATCGAGTTGATCTTGTCGTAGGATCCTGCCAATGTCTAATTTTAATGTCACATTCTCTTCCGACAGATTTCGCAATCGTATAAAGCATGTCTTACGTGTCTCGTTTCTATCATGTCCAAAACTATTTAGTTTGTATCTGTATACAAAGACATATGTGTCTTTTGCATTACGTGTAATGTGTCATGATGCATGTGTGTATTTTCCGTGTAACTACGTACGTGATATATACAGGCTACAGCAGACACACCATGTTATATAATAAAATATAATCCTACAGTATTGTTTATTAGTTGACTGAAGTATGCAAAGATACTTTTCCTTGAGAATTAAGAATTCGAATCAATAGTATAGACCGGTATTTTGTTTCTTGTTAATCGAGACTTGAGAGATTGATTTCTTCTTCATGTGATGCTTTAGAATGAAATGGTTTATTCCCGATTTATAAAGCTAGCCATCTTTTTTCTAAGGCTTTGAAACCTATCAAAAAGTAGTAACAATTTGCTTAACGTAATGATGATTAAAAGTTATTAGAAGAGTGGCGACAAGTTCACAACAGTTATATTATAAGAGTTATCTAACCACTCCATGCGAACATATTTTGCAACCAATGTTTTTGGGGTAAAATTAATTATGTGTTTTATTCATATAAGTGGAAAATTTTAGCTTTCATCTTCGATTATAGTATCAGTATAACTGTAATAATTTTGTCCTAAATAAAGAGAAACTGAAAAATGTTCATATCCGACAAATGTAAAACAACCATGTCTAATTTACTAGTATTGTAGGTTCCTTGATTTCTAAGGATTCAAATCATATTTTAATTGTAAGATAATCTTGTTTAAATAAGATAATCTTGTTTCTTAGCTTCCTCAAATTTATCATTTATCATAGTACTTCTTTAGGAAAGATTTGCTGATGATTTTATTTGACTTTTTGTTTTATTGTGTTTTCTCTCTATAACACTCTTTTTCTTCTAACATGTGTTGATCTTATGATCTAGTCGTGCATAGTGTAGTCAAAATTAAAATGCATTTGATAAATTATGATTATGACGTGAGACTGACTTATAAATAATTGTATGAATGAAAAAAAATTGAAGAACATATAGAGAAATAAACTAAAAAAAATATGTAGATATAAATAGAACAAACTGTATCGAAAAATAAATATATTATAAATATTAAAAGCAGATTAAACTAACTGATTACCTCATATGTTTTTCCTAACTGTTATATATATATAAGTAGCCATTTTAGAATTATTTATGGAATATATAAAAATGGAAAAGATTTGTGGTCCATATAAATTCAAATGGTGTAAAGTTTATAGAAAACAAAGGAACATGAAATAATTATAGCTAGGGATGGCCATTGGGTGTGATGGAACTATCAAAGAATATCTAGTCAAAGATTCTAATAAAGATTATGGAATTCAAATGTAATTTGGATATGATATGAGAATTGAGATGTGAACAAATACATCAAAAGAAATGATTTGACGATCAAAATAATGTAGCCTAGCTAGAAATGATTTCATCGTATTACTGTGAGTATGTGAGTGCATGCACAACCATTTCATATCCACTCTCTTTTCTTCTGAAGCCTAACTAGTATAACATATATAACACAAACGTATATGTTCGAACAACCATGTCAGCATATCTATAACTTTTCAGCAAGTATGGAAATCTCATGAATATTATATGTTTGCCTTATATAATTATATTAAGTTAGTAGATATATATATCTCGACTTTCAAATGGATATTTTTGTTATAAACCATTTCA